GATATACAACTGTTTAATAACACATAGGGTTATTAAATGTTTTTTTTTTTTTTTTATTGACCATATCTTTATATCATGCGGCGTTTGTTCTTCCCACCACACCAACAAAAACTTGCGATAATGAAATTACCAAAAACCGAAACGGTAGTTAAATTCTTTGACAGTCAGCTGACTCTGACGACTTTGAATATTTCAATGTTATCACATTTGTTGTTATTTGAATTTCTCAAAAAAAAAATCCAATTTCATCACAAGATATCATCAATCTAATGTGAAGGTAGGTTGGCCGGCCAACCGAGAGCAGTTTATGGCCGATTTGTTGTTCCATGTGTGTGTGATTTAACCTCCCAACGCAACGATTATGTAGCAGATTTGTAGGTATTTTCGCGTAAATTGTTTTCCATTCTCTGGGTTTGGCTAATTAGAGCCATTTGTTTTGGTGTGTTCTGGATTTTTTTTATTCGTTTTCTTTATCTTTCTTTGGCCATAATTTCACATTCACCTTGTCAATGTGATTCACAAAAAAAAAACAATGTTGAATTGCTTGATTACCGCCGGGTAGTTACTGTGCGTGTAGTATGAGTTGCCAGGTGGCTGGCTGTGTGGTCTAGTTCGAAGTAGTTAAAAAATAAAAGTTTGACGAAAAACACTCGCTCGCTTATGGCTACCACTTGACATTCATTCCTATGATATCATTGACGCTTGATATGGTGGAATGACAGCGTCAGAAATGAACTATAGCAACAGCCTTCTGTTTGTGGGGGGTATTAGACACAAGAAATGAAATTTATGACGTTATTATCGAAGAAATTATAAACCTAACAAATCGTCGATTATTATTTTTTTGTGGATGATATGCACCGGGGAATTTCTGTGAAGTGCTTGCCATTGATTGATAACTTTTTTCTGATTTTAGGTTTGTTTAGATTTGAAGCAGAAATATGGGTTATCAAATTAAATTGGAAGGTTTTTTTTAAGAAGAATTAGGTAATATACCTTACTAACAAGGTTCTTCTTGGGTAGCGAAAAGTCTACGTCGGGAGGAAATCGGATAATTTACAATTTCAAGATTAAACCAATTAAGAAAGGATACAAACCCGGCGGGACCGATTTTATGATACCCAACACTACCATGCATATCTGTAGAGCTACTTATAACAACTAAAGCTTTATATAGGGAATTTATTTGATTGTTGATTGCGGTATATTGATAGGGCATTATACATTTGAAAACAGATGAAAGCAATATATGGAAGCTTTATGTTAATCCTCATCGAGTTAAACTAAATGTGACGGAGGTCTATTTACGTTTTTTGTGAGCTTCCGTACCAAATATCATTGTTATTGAGTGCATGTTATGACTTTGGGAGGACTTACATCAAAACTCGATCCGATTTTCACCAAATTTGACGCATATGCTCCCAGGCTGAAATTGATTGTATTTGCCAAAATTCATCCTCTCTTGGCATATATTACACATTCGGTGCACGATGAACATAAAAACGAATAAGGGTATATATATGGGAGATATACACAAAACTGAACCGATCTCGATAGAATTTGACAAGGGTGTTTCTAGGATCTATATAATATCTTGCAAGTTATTGTTAAATATTAAATCGGTAAAGATATATGTATATGAGAGCTATACCTTTATCTGAACCGATTTTCACCAAAAGTCGACATATGTATTTGCTTATTCGGTCGTTTGTGCCCATTTGAACTGATAATACACATTTGGTGCACAATAAACAGGAAATCGGATGAAGATATATATGGGAGCTAACTTTGAATACCCTCTTCTTTTAAAATCTTGAAAATAACTACAGTATTTTTTGCTTACCTGCACAATCAAAAATTGCACGACATCTTGTGCAGCAATGCCCAAAATACAGGTAGCTTCATTGCATTTATCTGCACAATGAAGCAGGTATCTTTAATTTTACTTACGTGCACAAAAAGTGCAGGTATCTTTAATTTTCTATTCGTGCACAACAAAGCAGCAATCTTTATTTTACTTAGGTATGCATGTTTATATGTTTTTAATGCATGCTCTTTTCTTGTGTGGTTATTGTTTTTGCGAATACAAAAACAAAAACGAAGTGGTAGTTTTTAGTGTCTTTTTTGAGTTTGCAAAAATTTTCTTGTGCAGATAAATACAACTTTTGTAACCAAATTAAAAAAAATTACCAAATTTTCGAGGCAGGAATGTCCAATGTGCAGCTATCGATTGGGCACTTAAATACAATTCAAATAAAGGGATTCAGAAAAAAATGGCATAAAAAAAGTTTTTTGGTCTGCAAAGGCCAATGCGCAGCTAATGTTGATGCAGGTAAATAGAAACCACTGTAATGTAGTCGTATATTAGAGTCTATACGACGACGTGGACGTGCGCCTTTTGTCACAAGCTATTACAATATTCAAATGCGAAACTTGAAAAAAAAAATCTGTTTATAATGTAGCTAAAATCATCAAAATACCGAATATAGGGAGGTACCACGGTGGTTATAAAACGTGGATCTGCACAGACAATTTTTCTATCATAGGATGTAATATCCATTACGAGCTTCAAATGCGAAATTTGAAACAATTCCGGTAAATAATGTCGCTAAAATCATCAAAATACCGAATATCGGGGGTACCGTTATATGGGGGCTATACGAAAGCGTGGACCTGCACAGACAATTTTCTGTCATAGGCTGTAGCATCTATTACGAAATTCAAATACCAAATTTGAAATTGTTCCGATAAATAATGTCGCTAAAATCATCAAAATACCGAATATCGGGAGGTACCGTTATATGAGGGCTATACGAAGACGTGGACCTATATGACCCATTTTCTGTCTTAAGCCGTATCATACATTACGAAATTTTAATATTAATTTTAAAACAATTCCGGAAAAAATGTCGCTAGAATCATCCAAATACCGCATATCGGGAGGTACCGTTACATGGAGGCTATACAAAGACGTGGACCTACATGGCCCATTTTCAATACCAAAAGTCCTGCAGACGTAGTACACATTTGAGTAAAATGTTATCAACCTTCTTCATTTCGTTCGGAAGCTAGAGTGATTTCCACAAACGGACAGACGGGCGGACATCGCTAATTCGAAATAGAATTTTATGCTGATCAAGAATATATATAGTTTGTGGGGTCTAAAATGTATATTTCGAGGTGTTACAAACGGAATGACAAACTTAATATACCCTCCATACTATGGTGGTATGGTATATGATGCATTTCCAAAACCACCTCCATATCTCAATCCCGATACTAATAGAACCCTAAATATTATAATTCGGCAACCAGCTCTATCCCTCCACCCAATAAGCACTTAGTACTTTTCGTACAATTATTGTACACATTTCCAAAAACCATCTCCATATCTCAATACAATAGAGGCCTCAATAGCAATTTTGACTATTCCAGGCCTAACAGAATACCAAATTTATTGTCATTTAAACCGCTAAATCGCAAACATAGATACTATCTTAACTTAACTTAATATCAAATTTCAGTAGTTTATCTCAATCCCTTCACCCGATAGCGAATATAGTTCCATTTAGTACTATCAAATTGTAGGATTTCAGGTCTATTCCTTCACCCAATACCAAATTTAGTACATTTTACACACATACACATTCCGAAACCGCCTCCATTTGTCCAGGCTACACATGAACAACCACCCTAATAACAAATTTCAGATTTCAAGCTCTATCTGCTCACCCAATACCAAATTGTACCAAATACAGTACCTTTTTAAACTTTTCGTGCACTTGTTACACACATTTCCAAAACCCGCTCTTTATCACAAACCTTCAACCAAAAGGGATCCCAATATGAAATTTCAAAATATCAGTTTCACCCGTTTACTATAAACCAAATTGTTCCAAAATTGATAACATTTTAGTACAATACGCACACTTAGTGTACATTTCGAAAACCACCTTTATATCAATCTGACTTTCCAACATTGATTCTCATATGAAATTTTCAGTTTTAGCTCTATCCGTTCATATAATTCCATATGGTACCATTACAAGTACCGTTTTAGAACGTTTCGTAATATAAAATTTCGAATTTTCAAAAATACTTTTGTACATCTATCCTGCACTCCATCGGCAATTCTCATTCTAAATCTGGGAATTCTAGATCATTTGTCGAATAAAAAGTATTAAATTTTAATATATTTTAGTACTTTTACCATTTTATTACGAATTTCCAAAATCCCAGCCATATCACGCAATATTGACCCATCTTCACACCATATGTTTTGTTGGTAGACATATTGAGATGTGCAAAATGTCAAAGGAATAGGATGCTCATTTCGCATTTTATGAGGTTTATGGTAATTCAAAACTTTAGCCGTTTGTGGGGGAGGTACCAGACGGAGTGATTAGCTTCATCCCATCTTCACAAGAGATCTTTGATATAATTATTAGAAAGTGCCGAATTTGGAAAGAATCGAATGCTTATATTACATTTTATGTGTAAATTACATTTTATGTAATATAAGCATTCGCAAGTAGTAGGGCGCAAGTAGTAGAAGGGTTGTGCCGATATTGTCCATTATCTCATCTGATCTAGCACTGATAGAAATATTAGGATTTTCAAAGTTTGAACTATGGGGTTGATTATTATCTTTTAAAATTTGAACCTTACCTCTGAGGTAATGGAAAGAGTCTCTTTCCGGTCTCGATCTAAGTTTTGTAAAAATATAACGATGTACCAAGTTTGGATCAAATCAAATACTACATTCGAGAGATATCGTGCTCATTCAAAAGACCGACAGACGAACATCGCTCTTCATCTTGACTTTACTGAACTTTAGGGTAATTGAACAGTTAAATGATTTAGTATTCATATGAATTTAATTCTAGAGGGTCCACGTGGATATTTATGGTACACTTATTATTTATAACAAACTTGTATCATTTCATTTTCTATTTCAATTTTTATAAAACATTTAATCATTTTTTTTCTCTAATTTTCAGTTTATATGGTAATTTTTCAAAAATATGTGCCTCCGCTGCTGCACGCCAACCCCACCAGTCTGTCACACAGCCCACAACAGCCAGCACAGCTGTAGCCAACAACAACACACAAATTCGCGAATATCATGAAGTGGTCGGTGATATTCTGTGCCCCTCCCAAGTGATGGGTATCGATCACATTCGAGATCCACGTCTAAATAAAGTGAGTCGAATTTGTATGACACTAACCAATCATGCATGACACTCTAAACGTTAGCCGCCCTTGACCATTATCATCAAGCAAACTGCATCATTTTCATTTCATTCGAAGCAATCCACATCAAAAAAATAACAAGCGGTTTGGCGGCGTTTATGTCATTTGAGAATGTGCGAAATGATGAAACTAAATTTAAAATTGTCTACTTTTGCATTTTTTTCAATTCACCCCATGTAGGGTTTAGCTTTCACCCTCGAAGAACGACAAGTATTGGGCATCCATGGCCTACAGCCTGCCCGTTTCAAAACCCAGGAGGAACAATTGGAATTGTGTAAAATTGCAGTGAACCGCTACAGCGAGTCGTTGAACAAATACTTGTACTTGAGTGACTTGCAAGATCGTAATGAACGCTTGTTCTTCCGTTTTCTCTCGGAGAACATTGAAGAAATGATGCCGATTATCTATACACCCACAGTGGGTTTGGCCTGCCAACGTTTCGGTTTGATTTATCGTCGTCCTCGTGGTTTATTTGTAACAATTAATGATCGTGGTCATGTCTTTGATGTCATCAAGAATTGGTAAGTTGGAATATTTAAATTAAATTTTGGAAAAGAAGAATATCAAATATCCATGAAAATTGGAGATTGATTTGCCTGTTTTCGAATTTTTGAATCCTTCAATAACATCTTATTTTTAGAACACCTGGAAAAAGGCTATCAAAAAAACAGGTTAAAAATTATATTTCTATGGAAGACTTCTACCTATAGGAGACCTTAAAGGTGCTATCTTTAAAAGATCTCTAAAGGCCATCTCCGCATAGAAACCTCTAAAAGTCATCTATATATTAAAGTCTCTAAAGGTCTTCTATACATAGAAAACCTATAAATCTTCTATGCAGAGAAGGACTGTGAAGGCCTTTTCTCTATGGAAAACCTCTGAACGTCTTGTAGGTGTAAAGCACTTCTATAGAATGTCCATAAAACCAATACAGGCTTCTCCCTATAGAAATATCTTAACTTAGTGTTTTTTTTTTTTTTCTGTAGAAGGCCTCTAACGCCTTTCAATTGCCTATAGCAAAAAATAGTAAATCGACTCCATTTTTCGGAGATGTACTTTTCCTCAATATGTACAAATACTTTCGAAATAATTTTTTAAACAAAGTCTAAATTCTGCTTATTCGTTATGTTCAATTCTAATAAAACTCTCTTTTTATTTAGGCCCGAACCCGATGTCCGTGCCATTGTTGTGACGGACGGTGAACGTATTCTTGGCTTGGGTGATTTGGGCGCATCTGGTATGGGTATACCTGTCGGCAAGTTGGCCTTATACACCGCTTTGGCTGGCATCAAGCCCCATCAATGTTTGCCCATTTTGATCGATGTCGGTACGAACAATATTGATCTTCTCGAAGATCCCCTCTATGTTGGTCTGCGTCAAAAACGTGTCGTTGGCCGGGAATACGATGATTTCATCGATGAATTCATGCAGGCCGTTGTCAAGCGTTACGGTCAAAATACTTTGATTCAATTCGAAGATTTTGGCAATCACAATGCATTTAGGTTCCTCGATAAATATCGCAATACTTACTGTACCTTTAACGATGATATTCAGGGTACTGCCTCCGTGGCGGTGGCTGGTTTGTATGCCAGCAAACGTATAACCGGTAGAAGTTTTGCCGAGTACACGTTCCTATTTGCCGGTGCCGGTGAGGCTGCAATTGGTATTGCCGATTTGGTGGTGAAGGCTATGGTGGCGGAAGGTGTTTCTCTGGAGGTGAGTTGAGGAATGGATGTTAATTTCCTTAAAAAAAATTACTAATTTATATTTTTTGTTTTGTAACACACAGGAAGCCCGTAGCAAAATCTGGATGGTGGATATCGATGGTCTTTTGACAACCACACGTAAAGATGGCAACCTGGAAGGTCACAAATTTAACTATGCCAAAGAAGTTGAACCCATGAAGAATTTAGAAGATATTGTTGATAAAATTAAACCTAATGTATGTAGAGATTTCTTTGGATATATTTATAATTGAAGTAAATTTGTATTGATATCACTTCTTTACGTTTAGGTATTAATTGGTGCTTCTGCCGCTGCCGGCATTTTCACTCCTAAAATCCTACAAACTATGGCTGCTAACAATGAACGCCCCGTTGTGTTTGCTTTGTCAAATCCTACCAGCAAAGCCGAATGTACTGCCGAACAAGCCTATCAAAATACGGAGGTAAGAAAATGCGGGTGGGATTACTTTTTATTCACGTAATGAAGGATTTCTTAAGGAAAGATAGCATCATGTTTATCTCGATGCACAAATTCAAGATAAATGGGTGTTGTGCTTTGCAGCACTATGATGACTACGATGTTCTGAAAGAGTTATACCCGAAGTGGGTATATAAATATAGGCTGGCTGTCATACTGCCCAAATTTCATTGTTATTGAAAGGTTAACAACCGTCTGTTACTAGGAAATTTATATGCATTGACATGAGAATGATATTCCTGAGAAGCATAATACTAGTAAAATTCCCTATCAGAATATAGTTAGGATGTCGAAGATCGACATGCTACAAAAGGCGTAAACCGATTTCAGCATTTTAGAACATTTTTTGTTGACATTGCAAATCAAATTGGCCTACCTTCAGAAAGTGGCCACCTCATAGGGATGCTAGAAATATCTTATACATATGTATAAGAAAGAAAAGTATCAAAGTTATTTAAATTTTTAAAAAATGACGAAATTTCAGTCCCTTTAGAGAAAGTTGTACACCCATTACATTAGCCGACAGTTTTTAATCAGTCCTAAGAAGAAATAGCGTATGGAAATGGACTTATCTTCCAGCAAAAATTTCATTACCAACATATAATTTAAACAAGGACTTAATTAATCATAATTACGCTTATTTGTCGACTTTCTGGGGCCAGAAAATGACTACTTACTTTGTCAGAAAAATGGGTTGGTAACCACAGTTGTAAGACTATTTTCACAAGCTCTTACAGCCGGCAAGGCACCACCAAAATTTACGAGTATTGATGTTGTTAACAATGTTGAAACAGCTAAATGAGCCAAAATCCGTGTACCTCACCTAACCCCGGAATGTATTACTTGTTACTTATTAAGAAATTGTGATTGTAGTGTGTGAATCCTTAACTGAACGTCCAAACTGAAGCCATATAAGACAATCTTCCCACACATTATATTCCTTTGATAGTCTGGTCGCTCGTCTAAATCTTACTAGATCAAGAGCAGCAATTAATTTTTCCAATGCAGTTCGTCGGCGTAAGAACAAAAATGGTGTATTTAATGCTAAAAAAGTTGCCTTGAGAACCGGAACTAAATTTTTTCTCATAGCTCCCATTAAACACTTACATCAATAGTTGAAGGCCTTAGCTTTTATATTTCAATATGAGGAAATATAGACAGTATTATAGACAGGCTGGAGACATACTCCGCCTAGACGCATCTTCAGAATCTAAACCGAGAGTTTCGGATAAATTGAGAATGAAGGGAAAATGCTATCCTAATAGACAACCCCCCTTCTATTTCAGCAAAGAACGACGGCTGGCTTGACAGACTAAGAGTTGTTTTGGCACAATTTAAATCCTAATGATTAAACGTCTTCAATTCATATAGGGTCTGATTTGAAGGTGCTTAATATTCTCCTCAACTAACTCATACCTTCGTATGGATACGTTCTTTACAGATCACCTACTTTTTCAGCTTAATGTTAGAAGAGGCACCGACTTACGCCGCTAGATCAAAAAAAAAAAAAACATATGCGTCTGAAAAGTATTCATATATATACAATCGCTAGTTCCTTATATCATTACTTTCCTCGAATTTTATCTACGCTATTACAGCAGCAGAATTTCAAAAGTCCAGAAATTCCGATGCAGACACTTCAATTCGCATTTCAAACAGAGAATCGTCTTTCACAAAAGGTATTTTCCAAATAATTAGGGCCAAAGAAAAACTTACTGGGAAGGATTCACACGAAAATTGTGATCCGAAACGACCCTAGTTTTATTCGGGATAAGGATTGCTACCACAACCTATTTTAAAGCAATCTCTTTAAGGGCCTTTAGATGGTTTCTAGTGCTCACTCAAAACTAAAAACGGAACGATGGCAGTCACTCGAATTAGAGACTTATATTAGGTATATCTAACATCATACCTCCTTATATATAGAAAAATTAACATTTTTTAAAACGAGATTGATTTTGTTCGATCTGAAAAAGAAAGACTTCTTTTGAATAACTTAAAGAAACATACAGAGGGAATATTGCACTTATAAATATATATTTCAAAATGTAACTATCCAAATGATTAAAGGTAAAAAAAGGTAAAAAAAAGACCCGGTCGAATTTTATAATTTTTTTAAATTGTTTTATTTCATTTATTTTGTTTGAATAAGTCCTTGAATTTCATATCATTACTTTTTTTTTCGTTAGGGTCGCGTTATCTTCTCCTCGGGCTCTCCCTTCCCCCCAGTGACGATTGGCGACAAGACCTTCTATCCTGGCCAAGGTAACAATGCCTACATTTTCCCCGGTGTTGCCCTGGGTGTAATTGCCACCGGAACACATCACATACCCGATGATATGTTCCTTATTGCCTCCCAAGAACTTGCCAATTATGTATCCGATGCCGATTTGGAACGTGGCTCATTGTATCCACCTCTGTCGTCGATTCGAGAGATTTCAATGCGTATTGCTATGGGTGTTACCAAGTGTGCATATGACAAAGGTAAGTCTTTTGAGTGGAGGATTTGAAATAAGAAATCATTTATTGTTTTTTTTTTATACAGGTCTTGCCTCAACTTATCCCGAACCACAGGACAAACGCAAATGGTTGGAGGAACAGCTGTACAATTTCAACTATGAAAGCTCATTGCCAGTGACTTGGGTGTGGCCCAGGATGCCCTACATTAAGACCCGTGACTTAAATCCCACAAAACTGTTTGGAGACTCAAGTGATTAATATTGCTTTTTTCTTTCTCTCTCTCTTTCTCTTTATGTATATTCCAGGCGATGAAAGTCCTCTCTTAGCTGCCATTAAATAAATGTTTTGGCTAACACAACTGCATCTTTATTGAAACTAATCCACACAAATTCTAGAAAAAAAAAACACCAATATAACCAATTTAGTTGCCATCTCCTACAACTTTATCTATCTTTAACTATTATTCTCAAGCGTTTGTTTTTCAATTACAACACCACCACCACCAACGTACATAGTTATCTATCAACTCCTTTTTGCCAACACAAACAACAACAACACCGCCTAACCGATTTTTCTTCTCTTCACTTTAACTTGTTCCTATACTTCTTCTTTGCGGCTTTGGATACGGTTTCCGAAGCTGTATACCTATAAAACAACACAAAATACTATTTTAATTTAACGTAGCTTTAGTTGATTAACCAAATTTCAAAATGAAATGAAACTGACTATACAAAAAAAGCTATTAACAATAATTGCCACCTATTTACATCAAAGTATTGTAATAATGACAATGTGTGTATGTGCGTGCGTGTGAAAGAAAGAATATGGGAATGTATGTTTTCGATAAAATTAAGACCATAATTAATTGGGATTTGGGGGGAAAGTTAGGTTATTGGGATTCAGGGGCGTATTTTTTAATAGTTACTATACCCTCCACCATTTTATGGAGGTTATATTAACTTTGTCATTTAATTTGTAACTCCTCGAAATATTTATAATAGACCCTACAAAATATATTTATTCTGGATCAGCGTTAAATTATTAATGTCATATTTAAAGTTCGTTATGGGTACTACAGCCTATGACAAACATTTTTGTATGCAGGTCCACGTCTTCGTCTAGCCCCCGATATTCGGTATTTTCATGACTTCAGCGATATTATTTACCGGAATTATTTCAAATTACGTATTTGAAGTTCATAACCGTATATCTCCCAAATAACGGTACATCCCGATATATCGAACTTCTACATAACTAAAACATTGTTAAAGGGTCTGCTACCCAATACAGATGATCAGATCTTCCAGGTTTAGAAAGCCTCCTATTAAATTAAGATTTTTATAAGACATAATAGTTATAAGAGACCTTAAAACTATAGATAGAAGACATTTGAAAGAAATTCTAACAATAAAATACATGTAGAAGTTTTCTGTATGGAAGACCTTTGGAGGATTTGCTATTTTTGGAAGACCTTAATAACATTTTAATTTTTTTTTTTAATTTAACTAAACTTATAAAAGTTTGTAAAACACTGAATGCGGCTTTTATTGACGAGACGTTCCACTGTAACTTTTTATGATCGGATCTACATGGAATAATATTTTGAGTCGAATTTTTCAACAAAAATGTTCATTTCAATTTGTTATTAGAAGAATTCATTTAAAATATCCAATGTATGTAGCCTGACCCTTGGACTATTATCCTAAAACCATTCGGACAATACGTTATTTCTTTTCTCTGAAAATTTCCTTCATTCATACATTAATTTTATCGAAAATATATATTCCCAACAAAAAAACACACAGTGTTGTTAAGCAAGTAACGATAAACTAAAAACTAATTATATTGTATGTCATCTAGTCAAACATTAGAAGACTTTGAAACAGTATTTACATGCATAGTATAAATTTGTGTGGGTTGTTTTTGTATTATTAGTTCTAATATTTAATTTTATTTACTTTAAACAAACATATTTTGTAAGCCTAGCTTTCGCCTAGAAAGTAGAATCTTGCAGATAATTGTAAATTTTTTTTTATTGAATTTTGCTTTCTTTTTCAATATTTTTTGTTGTTTTGCTTTCTTTTCTTGGTGCTTTTCTATTTCATATTATGGTTTTCCATTTATTCTTGCTTGCTTTTGGGCATGGTAATTTTTAATGGATCTTTTAACCTCTACTAATTGTTTTCCCCTGACTCCTACCCCTCCCCCCACCTTCTTCGCCTTAACGATAGCTTTATGGAATCCCTTTCCATCTATATATATATTATTCTCGCTGTCTACTTTACTTCTTTTGTCGTCTTTTTTGTCTGAAGAAACAATGTTGACTGATTTGTTTTATTTTCTCCTCTTTTTTTCTTCTTCTCTATGAAAATGTCTCTTTTTGTATTTCTTTTTCTAGAAGATACACAGAAGAAGTAAAAATCTAATCATACCTTGAGTTGTACAATGCAAAATAAATACATCGCTCGTTGTTCATAAAACAAATCCTCCTTAGAAACGAATGCGAAAAATATCTGCCGCTTGATGAATTATCTCAAACAAAACCACACTTTGCAACCAACACCACAACCACCACCTATCTATCATCCGTAAAGGAAAAAAGATTCATTTTTAAATCATTTGATCATACATTTATTTTGTTTAAAAAATATTTCCTTTTTTCTTCTTTTTTGTTTTTTTCTTTATTTTCTTTTTAAGTTAGCCTCATTATTTATATATGTATGTATATATCAAAGAAAATGTCCATTTAATTTAATTTTTACATGAAAATGATGTAATTTTAATTTTATTAGTTCAATTTCAAATTGTCAACAAATGAATGTTACAAAATAACCTCACAAATAGCAAAAAACAAAGAAACATTATTAATTTTAAGTTACCTAACATGTGTATGCCGGACATAGTAAATTGACGTCATTGAAGTTGAAAATAAATTAAAAAAGTATGTCAAGATGGTTTTTATTTAAAAATAAAAGTAATTCTGGGAATAAATACAAAGTTTAAAATGTAATATGCTCTACGCTCCTTAGATGCGTCCGCTCTCGGTCAATGCTCAACGACGACTGACTCATAAACTCATTTTGATAGTTGACAATTCGGCCTCTCCTGACTCTTCGTCCCTCCTGGGCGAAACATCATCAGACTCATCTTTATCTTCGATTTCGAGACTTGGATCACCATAGCACCAGGGCTTCATATGATCGGTCGACATAACACCGCAATATTTCCTTTGCTTCAAACTTAAATCCGGCAGATCCTCTACCAGATAACGATCGTTTCCGATAATTTTCGTGACGATGTATGGTCCTTTATACCGCGCATCCAACTTATGCGATTCTCCTGTAGGCTGCGGTACCGTGTCTATCACCACCAAATCGCCTTCCTTGTACTGAGTTGGCTTGGAATGACGGCTGTCAAATCTTGCTTTCCATTTTTCCTTTTGTTTCTGGATGTTAGCAACAGCCTGCTGTTGAATTACCCTAACATCGAAATTCTCTCTTTCTTCATCACCAACCGCCTGGATAATTCTATTGTAACTGACATCTCTGAGACTAAAGTTGAATATTAAGTCATTTGGACTGAACTTTGTAGTCGCATTCAGCTGCGAGTTAATACTCCACTGTATCGTCGTTGTCTCAGTGTCCCATTCTTTTGTATCACCTACTAGACATTTCAACGCATTCAAAACTGTCTGGTTGATCCGCTCGGCTTGGCCATTGGCTCTTGGTGTTCGGACTGCTGTTTGTACATGTTGTATTCCGTTGTATTCCACAAACTGTTGGAATTCTTTAGACGTGAACGCCGTTCCCTTATCCGATACAATTCTTCGTGGCTGTCCGAAAATCGACATAACTTCTCGCAGCGCTGTTATAACCGGAGCAGTCTTTGTATTCCTGGTTGGCTTTAGCGTCAACCCCTCTTCTCTTATGGCGGTTAGGAACTCTTCTAGTACTTGGAGTCCTTCACTAATCGTCAAGCTCGGGATTATCACCTCATCCACATAACTTATGATGTTTCTCCGATGTTTCAACTTACGTATTATTTGGGTTATCATTTCCTGGAAGACCATCGGTGCATTTGTTAATCCGAAAGGCATTACATTATATTCATATAGACCGTCTGGTGTTATAAACGCCGTGAATTTCTTGGATTCTTCCTTGACGTGTATCTGGTAATATCCTGATGTCATGTCTAACGTTGTAAAATACTTATTTCCAGATAACAACGAAAGTTGTTCTTCAACCACTGGCATCGAGTACTGCTTTTTGATGGTGACTTCATTTAATGCTCGATAATCCGTACACATACGACTTTCACCGTTCGCCTTTTTGACCAACAATACTGATGCTGCATAGGGCGAATCACTTGGGCGAATAATACAACATCGAAGCAACTTGTCAATTATGTCTGACAGAATTTGTCTTTGAGAAAATGGAACTTGGTATCTTTTACCAACTACAGGCTTGTCCGTAGATAAACTTATTTCCATTTGTGTATTTTTACACCTTCCAAGGTCTTCAAGGGTTTCAGCAAAACAGTCCTTGAATGACGACAGTATTTGGTCTAATTTTTCCTTTTGATGCTCATCCAGACTTTCTCCGACATTAAATGTACTTGGCATTGTTGACTTTACTTTCAAGACACCATGCTCAATTGTAAGTTTTGTTTGCTTCTTACACAATACATCTCTTCCTAAGAGAACGTCATATCGCATCAAGTCATTCGGCACTACATAAATGGTAGTCATTAAACTCTCCTCGTCGATGACAACGTTAGTCTCAAACATTTCCACCACTTCAACAATAGATCCACCAAAACCTTTCATTCTTTTTGACGTTACTTCCATATCGCAACCCTCTGGAACTACAGCTTTCCGCATTAAGGTAAAGTCACTTCCAGTGTCCACAAAACCTTCATATGTCTTACCATTGACCGTAACATCTTTCATAACCGGTGGGCAGTAATCCTTAGACTCTTCTGTCATTGCTGCCACAGTTGTACCTTTACCTTTGCATTGCGATGCATCGTGACCAATCTTTGCACATTTACTACACTTCGGCTTCTTCAATGGTTGTGGGCAACTAGTTGAGATATGCCCAAACCTGTTACAATTGAAACATTTTACTCCCTTGGTTGGCGCTCCACCTGAGACACTTACGGTTTTGTCATCCTCGTCATTCTTTGTTTGCTTCCTTGCATACGTTTGTATGGTCAAATTCTCCAACGACCTTAATAATTCACTACATGTCTGCGGGTTCATAGCTAAAAGTGTTCTTGTTAAGCTGCTATCATTGAGACCATTTATGATGTACGACAGTATTGATGCCTCATCTACGCTTCCTCTTTTCCCTATGGCCAACATTGCGTAATAATATTCCACCAAAGACTCATTCGAGTTTCGTTTCCTAGCTATAAGTTCACGATGAATGTCAGCAACACTTACTCGACTTGGGAAATCCTTTAAAAATTGTTGTCTGAACTCTTTCCATGTTTCAACCACTGGTAAAGCGTCTATCCACATTTTAGCAACACCACTCATTTTATGATGAACTGCAAACAAAGTTGTTTCATCTGACCATCCATGAAGCCTTTGCAACGTTTCAACCTTGTCAATGAATTGGACTGATGTAACATTTCCTTTAATTGGATCGAAGTCTGGTATCATTACTATGTAATCCTTTAAACAACCAGATGTTCCGGAACCAGATTGTCTTGATATTACTTCAGCTGGAACTTGCTGTTCTGTATCCCTTGAATTTAACCCTGCATTTGACGTAATAGCCCTTTCTGTTGAAAGTGTTGTTAACTGTTGCACACTTCTTGCTAGAGTCAACATTATATCCTTTAGCTCTCGCATTTGACTTGTTAGAGAATCATCACCCGTCTCAGCTTCATCAAATCCATGGAAATCCTCCTGTGACTCTGAATCTTCAACTTCCACTTCGTCATTTCCATTGCAAGCCATGAGTCTAGCAATTTTCTCGGACTTATTTCCTGTTCGTGGTAAGCTTCTTGCCAGTAATAATTTGTCTAGCTCCGCAACCTTTAACGAACTTATTTTCACCTTCATACTTTTCCTTGTGAATTTTCCTTTTTAATTCGTTACTTCAGCAAATCTAGAACTATTCCTTTTTTTTAGAAGCCGCACGCCCTAAAAATATACGTTAACTTTTCCCTTTTTAAACTTCTTCTTCGGGGTTCCCCTCTTTATGTCTTGCTTTCAATCTCCTTGATGTACTATCGTTGTCCTACTCACTCACACTTTTGAGTATACCTTTGTACATTCTCCTTTGATTGATGCTTTCTCCTTTGCTCTCTTTGAGCACGTTACACACTCTCACTAAACTCACTCGAACTTTTGAGTTTAGGTGCCTTTGCGTGGTTTCTCCTTTGGTCGTCGTTGTTGCTTTGCATTGAGCTCTTCACTACTACATCACTTTGACGCCTTAGTTTCTCAGCTCTTTGAGTATTTTTCTGCAATTCTTATCCAAAATGATGAAATTCCTTGTAGATTTCTGTTCTTATCCCACTTCTGATTCTGTCAAGATGGTTTTTATTTAAAAATAAAAGTAATTCTGGGAATAAATACAAAGTTTAAAATGTAATATGCTCTACGCTCCTTAGATGCGTCCGCTCTCGGTCAATGCTCAACGACGACTGACTCATAAACTCATTTTGATAGTTGACAAGTAAAAAAATTATATATGCTTGTTTTAATTTTCAACGTAAGATCTGGTTGAACCCATGGTAAAATAATCAGAAAATATTCAAATTCTGGTGTTTTCAAAATGCTTTTTGTAACGTATGTTTCTACAAAATCCATAGTTTTTGTACCCTTTAGATTTCAAAATCATGTTCTATAGATTTTGAGAAGATATTTTGTCGTTTTATTCATTTTTCGCGGTTTTCAATTATTTTTTCAAAATCAATGCAACAAATTGTTTGGTTCTTTCATTGTTTTGATAGTAATTCTGACATTACAAGCCAAACAAGTAGACCTCCATACTTGTAATTTTTTCAAAGTTAGCCAACGTTTTGAAGAACCAAAACGATTATAAAATCATCAAGCATCGCATTATTTCTACTAACACAAGATCTGCTGTGAAGATGGGATATATAGGTATACTCCTTCTTCTACCTCCCCCACAAAGGTCAAAATTTTGAATATCCATGAAGCTCCTAAACCGCGAAATTAACATCCGATTCCATTCAGATTTGGCAAATCTCAATATTTTTATCAACACAAGATCTGTTACAAAGATGGTAGAGGTCGGACCATTTCTTCTGGTACCTGCACACATTGGGTTAAAGATTTGAAAAAAAGTGATTGTATGTGTGAACTTTTGAACGTGAAATCACAATCACTTCTGGTATCTCACCCATAAGGGGACACAATTTTCAATACTTTTATCAGTCATAATTTTTGTCTCAAAGGATGTGTAAATTGGCGCAGTTGTCGATTTTGGAGTTAAGATCAGCCAGAAGCATTTAACGCCTTTAGACTATTTTTGTGAGGCTAAGTTAAGGATCATGTCTATACAGATGAGTCTGCTTCGATTGACGCACCGGAAGACAACATTAAATCATTTATTCGTAAAACATTGGCCGAAGTGTTGGAAAGCGTTTGCCAAAATTGGACTTAGCCGATGGACCCTTTGCGGCGCAATCGTGATCACTGTTTGCATGAAATAATTTTTAAAAATAAAATGAATTTTTCTGAATGCTATTTCACAATAAACACTTTAGCTGTAATATGCAGGTGTAAACCTTTAATTGAAATTAATTAAATTTAACTTTTTAACTGGTAATGGTTGTTTAACCCTTCAAACGGCCGAATATATTTGAATTTTTTATTATTTTATTATATCCAAAATTATTTAAATTGCAGCCATAGATGATCTGTCAGACAAAAAATAATATTTTTTGATAGAAACGTGATGGTTGAATACAAAGGAATACAAAGGCAAATAATAAGATGGGACAATTCATTGTTGTTTCGATTCAATAGATAGCGTTGATAATGTTCTGACACCATATCGTGACATAGCATTATGTTATGTTATCGGAAACTTCAATAGGATTTTCAATATTGATTTTGCCCAATCTACAGTTTTATGTCTTTATAACAAAAATCTAGCCCCAGGTTTTAGCTCTTTGAAGTAACTTTGCCAGATTTAGAAGACTTACACAAGGAAACTATCCTCATTAATATCAACGAGATTTCAATAATACCATGGTGAAACTTTGAAAAAATTGCAAGTATACCTGTTTGGCTTGTAATGTCAGAATTAGTATCAAAACAATAAAAAATCAAACAACTTGTTGCATTTATTTTGAATAAATAATTGAAAACCGCGATTACTGAATGAAAGGTCAACACTTCTTTTCAAAATCATGTACTATATATCTCTAAAGGATTATTTCGCTACAAAAACTCTAGATTTTGTCGATGCATACGTTGAAATAAACATAAACAAATTAATATGACATATTAAGCCAAGAAATTAAAAGAATTGAAATCATATGGTATCATAGCCCTACCTTGATATCATTGTACCATGAATAATACGATCTAAACGTTTATGAACCAACTTGGCATATATTGTGTGATATTAATACAATATTTTAGAAGTTTTATATCTTTCTACGTTTTATACAAGTATATGACGTTTACAACTTTTTGACAGTCAAACACCTAAAAAAAACTTTCAAACAGACCATCTCTGATTACACCTCATTTGGACGTTAAATGCATTTGGAACCTTCAAAATACTTTAACTCGGGAATAACCGTCCTATAGTGGTTATTCCAAATACTGTACCAACATTTTGTCAGGATAAAATCCACCCCTGAGAACTGTAAATATCAAATTATAACTGATTCAGTTAAACATCCTCAAAAACCTAGTCCTAAGCAGAGGGATAAAGGCAAATCAGCTCAGTTTTTTATAATGTTCTTAAATTATGAGGATATATATATATATAGATATATATATATATATATATATATATATATATATATATATATATATATATATTTTTTTTTTTTTTTTTTTTTTTTTTTTTTGAATGACAACTTTCTTGAAGAGATAACTTACTGAATAGCGCCATCTATTGTTTTTTGCAAATAATACTGTGACAACTGTCTATGGTTTCTGTCTTTGAAAATTCTCTACTTCTTTTACAACTTTGTAATAGAATAACCTAATTTTTAACGGTAACAACGTCTATACTGATACTTGAAGTCGATAAAGCCGTCTCTGCAGTATCAGCGGTTTTTGTTTGCCATGTATATGTTGACATCATCGTTTAATATCAGTTTTCAACAGATATGGAAAAGCACAATTCGAAAGTGTACACGGTAGGTACATTTCAAGGTAGAAAAATACAGGTAGATGCATCAACGTTTGGGAACATTGATATGTCAAAAAATTTTAAATGTCTTTTCAAATATAAGAAGATTTTTATTTGTTTTCTTATACGATGTCATTCGGAGGTTATTATAATACGCATTTTTTCAACAATTTTTACAAATTTAAATAATTTTTCATTCAACATTTTCAGTTCCAAAATTTGTTTGACAGTTTATTGTCCCAGCAGCTGTGTCGATGCATCTACCTATATTCTTCTACCATGGTACATTTATATTATTATCTTTTACTTATTTATATTTTTATTATTTATATTATTATCTTTTTATAACAAATATAAGAAATAATAAAAAAAAAATAAAAGCAAATATAAGAAATAAAAAACAGCTATATACCCTCCACCATTTGGAAGAAACTTGAAATTTTTCAAAAAAAAAAATCCGTCGGAAAATACCGCTCAAATAAACACCGTTATATGGGGGCTATACGAAGATGTGGTTCTGCATAAGTTATTTGTGTCATAAGCTGTGGTAACGAAATTGTAAACAATTCCGGTGAATAATTTCGCAAAACTCAAGAAAATGCCGAATATCTGGGGTACCGTTATATGGCCGCTATACTAAAACGTGGAACTACTTTGATAGTTCTCTTTTAGGGGGAAAAGTACTCACAAAACAATTCCATTGAAAAATGTGGATATATTCCATCAAAATACCGAATATCGGGAGGTACCGTTATATGGGGGCTATACGATATCGTGGACCAATATAGATTTATCCCTTCTAGGGATAAAGTACTCACAAGGAACTCCTTGTGCCGACAATTCCATTGAAAAATTTGGCTAAAATCATCAAAATACCGAATATCGAGAGGTGCCGTCATGTGGGAGCTATACGATATCGTGGACCGATATAGATAACTCTCTTTCAGGGGATAAAGTACTCACAAGGAACTCCTTGTGCCGACAATTCCATTGAAAAATGTGGCTATACCGAATATCGGAAGGTGCCGTCATGTGGGGGCTATACGATATCGTCGACCGATATAGATAACTCTCTTTCAGGGGATAAAGTACTCAGAAAGAACTCCGTGTTTAGAATTTCAGACAATTCCATTGAAAAATGTGGCTAAAATCACTTAAATGCCGAATATCGAAGGGTGGAAGGGGTACCGTTTTATGGGTCTACACGATATCGTCGACCGATAAGGTCAAAATTTTAGCTTCCTATCTTAATTGGTTTTTAATGTAGCGTGATTACAGCAGACGGACGGGCGGACAGGGCGAAATCGACTCGACTCGAAACAAAAATATATGGTGTAATAATATATGGTGTTACAACAAAAATTGCATATATTTGTGAAAGTGTATACTACCTTGACCGATTTTTCCTCTATAATAATTAAACAAATTGCAAAACCAGTACTTTCTTGCAGTTTTCAAAAAAAAGTATATATGTTGTTTTATTCGTCCTATGAAATTTGCTGTTGATTCTTATTGTTTCTAAAAATCGAAATCGATCCCAGTTTTGGTATAGCCCCTAGATATAGTCCTTATATTACGGTCGACATTTTGAGTTTAAAATATGTTATAATCCTATTGTCGTAATACTCGGAAGGAGAGCAATTAAACATATTTCCAAAGACTTTCATTCCTTTTTTATTTGATCCATTGCAAATTGGAGCCCAACAGAAAATCTTAGTTTCCTATAAATTTCGATGGCTGAATATTGTCAAAATCTTCCAAATACCTGAAATCGGCTGGAACCATTATACAGGTACTATACGAAACAGATGAACCGACTTTAACTTTAGTCTGTACTAAGTTTACGTGCTCAATGATATCCAAAATTCTAAATGTCGGTGCAGTTAAATGGGCATATATCAGCATGGAATTAAAGCCAATTTCACTGACAAACATTTCCAAATCGGCGTTGAATTTGAGCTAATCAAGAATATATCGTTTGTACAGTCTTAAATGGTGGAGGGTACAAAAGAATATCTAAAAATTGAAGTCTTCTTTTAATGATTTAAGTCGGCTGGCCTCTTTGTAAAAAGCCTTCTGTGTATCTGCACCATTAATTTTTTTTAACAAATTCAGATTTGTTTGCTATTTTTTTTAGTAATTGAATGAATGTATGGCTGGTTGTTAGTTTTCCCCATGCGCTTCACATTCTTCTTTAATAAATTTCTTATATTGAAAAGTCCAATATGTTTGTTTTATACCGAACTAAAAAAAAGTACAATAGTACGAGTTTTCCATATCTGATTATGTTCTGCTCTTCCACTTCTTCACATACTTATTTCCTTCCCTATCGAGAATTTAACATTTATCGTTGTAGGTGTTGGTGTATTAACTCTGTTACCCAGGGCGATTAGTGCTGGTCAAAATTTAATTGATGGTCTTAATCATAGTAAGAATTTTTCCACTTTCAGTTTATTCATAACTTTCAAGCACAATGGCCACATACGAAGAGGTTAAAGATGTTCCCAATCATCCAGAGGTCTACTTGATCGATGTAAGAAATAAAGATGAAGTAGCTTCAACTGGTGCCTTACCGGCTAGCATTAACATTCCATGTAAGTAGAAGAAGAATAAAAACAAAATAAAATGTAAAGAAAAAATTGGGGAAATAAATGCCGGCAATAATTTGCAAAAGAAAAAAAAAACAAACACTGCCTTTACACGGTGACATTTTTTAACCATGCCATTTTTTTTTGTTGGTAAAAGGTGTAGAGAGACAAGGATAGAAGAAAAAATGGCACGATAAGCCACCGCACAGGGTTACATGCCATTTTCTTTGCATTTCTCTTTTTGCTTCTTCCGAATTTTTTATGATTTTGACATTTCATATCGTTTCTTAATTGTAATTTTGATGCGTTTCTTTTATTGTGATGTGATGTTTTTAGTGATTGAATTATATAGTGAATTATATGAAAATTAATTGGAAGTATTAAAAAGTAAAAAAAGAAAGTTAAAATAAAAGTTAATAATGCAAAATTTAACACCTCAATAACTTTTTCCATCATTTCTTCTTTAGATTCGCACATTTAATTTTAAATCACTTCTTTATAAATATCTGTTATAAACAATTAGTTCTATACGAAATACTGAATAAAATAAAATGTCAGAAAAAATGCCAAGCACTATTATCGTAAAATGCCACAGTGTAAAGGCGCGAAGATTTACGCTGAAATTTTAAAAGAGAATTGATAAAAATGCCAGCTAAAAATTGCACCGTGTAAAGGCAGTGAAAATGAAGTAAATAATGATGCTTGTGGCATTCGATAAAAAAAAACAGTGGAAAAGTTTTTGGTTTTTTGAAAACAAATTGAAGTGATTTAAGTTGTGCGTAGTTCTATTTCACATGAAACAGGTTTTGTTTATTATGCCAGAACATGCAAAAATGACTGATGGAAAGATGAAACAAGCTGTTACTTCATTGCAGCTATAAAAAGGGCATGGTTCGAAGAGATAACAGGATCATTCATTTGATGAGCCAAGAAAAGATTTTTGCGATAACCGATTTTTCCTTTATAACATCGAAAAGTCCAAATCTAGTAGATCCAGGTTCTAAAACAGAACATTTATTTTTTGTCTCCATTTTTCGGTTGAAACTCGAATTTTTCAACAACATATTCCTTATCTAATAGCCAAACTTATGGAATATTTCTATTTGGCATACGTCATGTTATCATGGGAATTGCAACCATACCATATCACCTATCCAAAGAATAGGTTTTTTTTATTGTTGGAACATATCCTTAATTTAATCGAGAAATGATTTAATTATTGATTTCATGAGACATTGGTTTATTGTTTCATAATTTTAGGGGAAGTCACATTAAATTTTGGTTATCAAGAAATGAGTCATAGTTTTTAATTACACATTCGAAATTGAGTGTACAAAACCTTTAAAAGAACTTTTTTTTTTGATATTTTTTTTTTTATCATAAATTTGAAGAAAAACACAATGTTAATTTTTTTGCCAAATGTTTTTCTAGATCGTCAGAATGCGAACCACAAAATAACAGCAATTTCTATTGAAACAAGCCAAAAAGTATAAGGTTTAGTTTATTCGATCTAGATATCGCGAGTATCATAACGTCTATATATTCTTGATCATGGGAAAATTCTAAGCCGATTAAGCCATGTCCATCTGTTGAAATTACTGTAGCTAAAACTGCATGTGACAGAAAGCTACTATTTTGCAAAGAGTTGTATGTTGTCTGAAGGCAGGTCAAGATTGATGATGAGCTATATCGGTCAATGTTTTCATATGGTCCCGTTTTAATTGTACCTCCCATATTCTGAGTTAGATAATTTTAAGCTTCAGTTTCTCGCGAAAAAACTTACAATTAGGTATGTGGAGTTCATAATGAAGTTTATATAAGAGAATGGGTTCTACCTTCTGTGCAAAACATTTTCTATACAGGGTGAGATAAAAAACTGCAACAAAGTTTAATTTTAACATTTTTTTTAATTTTATTGAATGAAAGCAAAAAATGTCGGAATAAGTTCAAATTTTTAGAATAAGTTCAAATTTGTTCGAATTGGTCACATTTGGCACGAATTATGGCCTTCAGACGGCAAAAGCAACCTTGCTTTCCAAAATACTCCAGACACAATAGTTCAAGGGATTGGTATCCGGAGATTTTGATAGCCATTGTGCGCTGGAAATGAAACTAGGAACCTTATTTTGTAACCAATCTTGGGTGGCGCGTGCTGAGTGCGTTGGTGCAGAGTCCTATTGGAATGTTATTACACCCTCCAGAATATTTTCGCGATAATATTCGAATGCCACGGTCGATTAATACGAGCGGAGAGCGACCATCGGCTGTTATGATGGCCCACAACATCACAAGTGGCTTAGAAATGAAAGCGGTCTAAAGTTGGTTGTAGTTTTTTCATCTCACCCTATATAGGCGTATGTTTCCCTACAGCCCTCATATTCTTGTACCTTCCCATATTCGGTATTTTGATTATTTTAAAAAGTTAGACCTCTTCAAGAGATATGACGGCCTGGAACATTCTTACAATGGTTTCATTGCTTGTGTAAACTAAAAAAACTCTACAGGTCGCACTTCTGGGTTATAACGAAATTTTTATTTTTAATGAAAAAAATAAAGCCGATTGGTATAAAAATGTGGCTGAGTCTTCAATATACAAACAATTATGCCATTTTCAAGTCATTTAAAAGCCTGGATGCACAAGCAATTGGCACTGCGATGGTTATGTTTATAACAAAAAATGAGTTCTTAAAACGACGTCTTTAGAGATTCAATTCCAAATAAACAAGTTTTTTTGTGACACGTCATATTTAAATATATTTTAATTCTCGCATGATTCTTCAGATATATGATATTCCTTTAAAATTAAAATATTTTTACCATAAGAGCCGAAAGTAATTACGTTTTCCATTTCTTTGGGATTGTATGATGTCATATTTGTAAATATTACGTGGTATTAATTGACCTTCATTAATCCCTTAAATGTTTTTAACATTAAATTTATTACCCTGTTTCAACATTCTTGGTTACAAACAATTCAACACGTCATTACCAAAAGGACATTAACATCTAGAACTTGACCTTCGCTGTGTTGCCTAGTGATAGTAAATGGTATAAAACAACCTTCCACTGACCTTCGTTTTTATTTTGTTTTCAGGAAGTTTTTGTTACATTCCACAATTCTATGTTAACGTTAGAGCTTTTTTCCGGGTTAACCTTCGTTATGAAGATTTATTTGAGATATATACAATGGAATTGACAGATTTAAAACGACTGGGTCTTCTATATCTATTTAATCGTGAACGTACTATTAAACTCCTTTATGAGGGTTTCTTCTACGTTGGACTTGGTAATTGAAATCCACTGATTTTACCATATGCGGTAAAATGTAAACGTATTTAACCTTCGTTTTCATACATTTTAATTACTCAACAACAAGTTTGTTACAATAAATCAATGAAATCGATTCAAATTAAATGGAAAACAAAACGCCTTGCATGAGCTGCTTTGAATATTAATGAAGGTCATTCATGTGAATTTTTTTTTATTACTATACACATACTTTATGATTACAAGAGGCTATCTAGTTTGTGTAAATATATTTTATAATTTGCTTTTTGTTTGATATCTGTGATAATATAAATATAAGTTTATAAATTTATCCCATTTTCCAGTGCCCGAATTGGAGGATGCCTTTAAGATGTCTGAAAATGACTTTAAGACCAACTTCAACCGTGATAAGCCTACCGAAGAAACCGTATTGATTTTCAGCTGCTTGAAAGGAGGCAGAGCCCAAAAGGCTGCTGACAAAGCTTTAGAAAAGGGCTTTAAAAAGTATGAAAACAAAACGCACTTACATGTATATGTTTATTAATTTTTTTTTTACAATTACAGTGCCAAACCATATCCCGGCTCGTGGACCGAGTGGGCACAAAAGGAAGGTCTATAAACTCAATCATATCGTAAAAATGTAATGTCATATCATTCCTGGTTCATGTCTTAATATCAATCAAATAAATAAAAAAATCTAAAAACAATAAAAATGAGTGTTACAATTTTACCTCTTTTAGATTACCCCAACTTTTGCCAATTTTTAATTTAACCTTAAGTGGTACATTTAATTTTACACAATTCTCCATGGTTATGCTAAGAACTTTGGCAATTTTCTTTGCCTTATCTTCGGGTACTTCAAATATCAGTTCATCGTGCAAATGTAAAACCAGACGTACTGCATCAGCTTCAATGCCCAATTTTGAGCGATATTTTGTGATATTCTTTTCCATTTTCAAAATGGCACTCTTGGCAATGTCAGCCGCTGATCCTTGTATGGTGGAGTTTACTGCTTGTCTTTCAGCCTGGCCTAGGAGGAAGGAATCAAAGAAAGTTTTGTATAATTTTAATATAGTTAAAATAGGTTGTATTTCATCCGATATTTAAAAATAGATTGATTTTTTTTGTACAACCAATTTCTTTTAAAATATGGCCAATCATCCAGAGATCTACTTGATCGATGTAAGGAATAAAGATGAAGTAGCTTCAACTGATGCCATACCGGCTAACTTTAACATTCCATGTAAGTAGAAGAGGAATAAAAACAAAATAAAATGTAAAGTAAAAATTGGGGGAATGAATGCCGGCAATAATTTGCGAAAGAACAAAACAAAATGAAGTAAATGATGATGCTTGTGGCATTCAATAAAAAAAAAAACAGTGGAAAAGTTTTTGGTTTTTGAAAACAAACTGAAGTTATTTAAGTTATGCGTAGTTCTATTTCACATGAAACAGGTTTTGTTAATTATGTCAGAACATGTAAATATGACTGATTGAAGATAAAGAAGAGACAATCTGTTACTTTAATGCTGATACGAAAAGGCCATAGTTCAAAGCGGTTAACAGGATCATTCATTTGATGTTACTCCGATAACCGATTCTTATACCCTATATCGTCATTCTGTTTTTAACTCATCGAAATAAATTTTGCACCGATCTCTCTTTTGTCTGCAGGTCTACGATATCGTATATCCCTCATATAATTGTACCTCCCGATATTGCGTTTTTATGATTTTAGTCACATTTTTCAATGGAATTGTCTGAAGTTCTACACAAGGAGTTCTTGGTGAGTACTTTACCCCCTGAAAAAGAATGGCCTATATAGGTCCACGATTTCGTATATTCCCATATAACTGTACTTACCGATATCCGGTATTTTGATGATTTTAGCCTCATTTTATAATGGATTTGGCTTAAAATCCACACAAGGATTTCCTCTGAGTACTTAACCCACTGAAAGAGAATTGTCTACATAGGTACACGATATCATATATCTATATTTTCATGGAATATATATATTTTCAATAGAATTGTCTTAAATTCTGCACAAGGAGTTCTTGGTGAGTACTTTACTCCCTGGAAGAGAATTTTCTATATAGGTCTACGTTTTAGTATAGCACCCATAAAACGTGATATTCGGTACTTCCAAGATTTTCGCAACATTATTCACCGGAATTGCGTTAAATTTCGTATTTGAAGTTCGTAATGGGTACTACAACCTATGACGGAAAATTGTCTATGCAGGTCCACGTCTTAGTGTAGCCCCCATACAGCGGTACCTCCCCTTATTTGCTATTTTGATGATATTAGCGACATTATTCACCGGAATTGTTTCGAATTTGAAGTTCAAAATCGCTACTACAGCATATGACAAAAAATTACTTTTCCAGCACCACGTCCTCATATAGCATCCACATTATGGTTTTCATTTGATCGGTAATTTCGACGATTTTTTTTTTAAATTTTCAAGTTTCTTCCGAATGATGGACGGCCCGGCCGAACTTAGCTTTTTTTTAATTATTATTTTTAACATTGAAAAATTTAGCAAAATCAGTAGGTTTGTAGCATTTCTTTTTATCACCAATTTCTCTTTGAAACTCGAATTTTTATTAATAATAATTTTTTTTGTAAAACAAAATTCTTAAAAAATATGGCCTGTAATTCTTACAGGATACAGTCCGATTTGATAATTTTTTTTTAATTTTTTTAGGTTTATATAGAGGAGTACATATGTTGTCGGTTAATGATAAAAAGTTCACAGTGCAAAGTATTGACTGATCTACAGGGTAAGATGAAAAAACTGCAACAGCTGTTAAAATTATTCCAGTGACAGCTCATTATATTGTTTACAAGCGTACAAAAGCATTTTGGTGGGAATTTTCCAGAAAAAAAGGTATTTGTGATGAAGTTTAAGCGTGATAGTAACATTTCTTTATATTTGGCAGAAAACCACAAGTGGCTATCGTTAGGGCACACCAGCATTTAAATGTGAATAAATATTTTTTGTCTCGTACCATCGCTCGTTACCGGGATACTGGTAACGTAGGCCGACGTCAAGGAAGTGGACGGAAGAAAACAGCAACATCAGCAGAAATGGTTTAAAAAGTAAAGAAGCGACTTGATCGAAACTCGCGTCGCAATGGGCGAAAAATGACTTGTGAGCTGAACATACCGCAATATTCCATCCGGCAAACATTGATAAATTAGTAAAGCCATTGACATTCCAAAAGTACAAGAACTTACACCGCAACAGAAAGAAAATAGACTCAAAAGAGATAAAGAGTTGCTTCGCTTGGCCGAAAGCGGTGAACTTCCGAATTTGGTTTTCTCCGATGAGAAAAAATTCGTTTTCCAGCAGCTTTTAAACAAACAAAAATGATCGTGTTTACTTGCCAAAGAGATCAGCTGAAAATGTGCACCTTCGGTTGGCCACCAGAACTCAAGCGCCGGCCATAGTGATGGTGTGGGCCACCATATTATCGCGAAAATATTCTGGAGGGTATATTGGGCATGCCAACATTTTGGCCGCAGACCATGGACATTTCAACAGGAATTAGCACCATCGCACTTAGCACGCGCCACCCATGAATGGTTACAAAATGCGGTTATTCCAGCGCACAATGGCCACCAAAATCTCCGAATCCCAATCTGTTGGACTATTGTATCTTGAGTATTTTGGAAAGCAAGGTTGGCACTTAAAAATACCAAAGTGTCGATCATCTCAAGCAAGCGCTTCGACGGGAATGGGCCAAAATACACATTCGGGCAGCGTGTGACGGTTTCATTGGCGTTTTAAAGGCCATAATTCGTGCCAAAGGTGACCAATTTGAACAAATTTAAACATATTCTAAAATTTGATGCTATTTTCGACACTTTTTGCTTTCATTTCATTTATTTACCTTACAAAGAAATATAAATAAGCCCACAGGGCCCATAACTTATATTATCTATCTACAATACCCTAACATAATACAAATTCAATGATTAATTCAAACTTAACAAATAACATATTAAACCTAATAATTTATCTTAATAATTCACGAGAAGCTCGAACCCTACACCTCGATTCACCATCACCAACTAAACAATAGTCTAGTAGAGCAGTGAAAAAGTGTATCAGAAACGAGCTAAAAATAAGAGAGAACTATTTTATTACTCACAAAACAGAGTATAAATAGTAACTCACATTATACCCTACAAATAAAATTAAGAAGATAATATAGTGGCTCCCCAGCCCAAACAAAAAGAAAAGCAAAAAAGAAAAACCCATAATAAACCGACGCAACCACTACAAAAACATAGCCTACATATTTAGGCGAAGGTATTCAATTACTTTAACCCTAAACAGATAATTGGTATGGGCAAAAGTACGTAAGGCCAAAGGAAGCTGATTCCACAATCTCACCGCCCTAACCACAAATGATCTCTCACCAATGGAGGACGAAAACCTGGGACACAACAATTGAGGATTTCGAGATGATCCACAAAACACAAAGTTGTCACGAAGAGGCGAGTCAAAATTGCACATAACACTGTAATGAAATTGAAGAATACGAAGATCAACGTAGCTGCTAAATGGCAATCCCAGGAGATCATTAACAAAACAAGAAACATGATCACCACGACGCAAACCATACACATAACGAACAATCGAATTTACCGCCCTACGGACACGTTGCATTTGAGAAGAAGTAGTACCGGAGACTACCTCTAGACAATAATTTACCTGCGATAGCAGCAAGGATACAACCACTCTCTTCCTAACATGACAAGGCAAATAAGCATTAAGACAATACAGCCTCCGCAGCTGAAACCTTATGCGACAAAGCAAGGAATCAATGTGTCTCTTAAAGTCCAACTTCCGATCAATTATAATACCAAGACATTTCATTTCATCAACAAATTTCACTAACACAGATCCCACAGTAATATTAAGAGAACCACCATTACCATGATCATTGAACAGCATAGCTTTAGTTTTATTCATTCAATAAAACTTAAAAAAAATGATATTAGATATTATCTAGACAGTAGGTTTAGATACCATCTATACAGAATGACACACCGTCTCAAAGCTTTAAAAAGATCAAGTCAAAAAGTCTTGATCTTTATTCTTCCAACGCAAAAAAAAAGAAAAATCTAAATTTGTCCCCAAATGTGCAAATTATCAATTGAAAAAACAAATATTTAAGATTCTCCCATTCCACGAACGGCAATTTGACAAAAATTGTTAATTGGTCGTGCTTGCAGCTAACAATAGGTTAGGGTAAATAGATCGCTATAAAAATACGTGGGGTAGCAGAAATGACCTTTAATCGTTAAAACGTGTGACCAAATTAGAATGACTCAACTCATCATTGCTTATCTATTCGATCAACAAACTTACGCACATTTGTAACACAAATCAGCCAATCTTTGTGTGACTTCATAAACCAAAATTTGAGGGGTAAAATGTATTGTTATTTTTTATACAGTGAAGTGGGAAATAATGATAGCGATGTTTGTTTGCTTTTCATATCTTGTATTCTACCTTTCTTCAACACCAGCTGAAAAAAGTGTTTGTCGGATTGTGAAATATTAAATAGAAACAAACACGTACTACAAATTGTACACCCAAATTACTATGGGTCATACAACCACATAAAAAGGTGGAATGGAAAATTCCACATCTTTCGTCGTGTTCAATAACAGGGGGACAAATTGAATGATTAATAACTAATTCAATTTTGCCCTTAGAGCTTTTGCTTGAAAAGCTTTATGAAAATCTTTAATAAAAAGCGACACGAAATTGTTTTAAGTCGACCTACTGGTCTATTGAGAAATTTGAGAAAAGAGAATAGAGAAAAGAAAGAAACCGATTGGGAAAATAATAAATTGTAAGCCACGAGTAAGAATTTATCGTGAAGTCTTTAGCCGATTTTATCTGCTGGTTTTGTGTTAGAGAATGAATACAGATCCTAACTCTCTAATTGATGAGAGTTGGACAATGACAGAGTCCCATGGTTAAACTGTCTCAGGTTCCTCCTTATCCTGCCAGAGCTAAAAGTAATAGGTATCATCGCCAGTCCACTTAAAAGTCGTGGCTGTTATGTTAAAATGACCTATGATGTTTTAGGTCAGGTTTCACTATGGAGATGAGCTAAGTTGTTCTCTTTCCGGAGATTAAAGGCCAAATATTTAAGAACATTACATCTCCTATCATTTCGCCAGTTTTGTTGAAATCTCCCGGAGTAATGTTCATGGATGAAAGAAGATGTCCAAGAGTTACACCGAGTTCTCGACTTCAATTTTAATTGATTTGGATCCTCGTCTTGAGAATTCATCTGCCGTTTGTTACCTAAAATATTACAATAGCCAGGAACCCAACAGAGCTGGATGGACAACCCAGCATTTTTCAAGGATTTCCTACACTTCAAAACAGCCAAAGATTGTACAAGAATTTAAAGCCTTCAGGGCCGCTTAACTATAGAAGTATATAGTTACCGGACCCTTAACCATATATTTGCACACAGATGTATGGTTTTTTAATGACAAAGATTTCGGTCTGGAATGTACTACAGTCATTGCTAACCATGTAGGGTTTACGCATATTAAGGGCATCACAGAAGACCACAGAACCCGTACGCCATTCCCTCTTAAAACTATCAGTATAGACAACTATACCGTATAAAAGTGGAAAACGTGTCCAGATGTTCTGTCAAGTATTTGGATTGACTTTTCCTCTTATACATTCCACACGACCTAAGATCGCAGAGTGTCAAAAGGATTGACTGCACCATTGTTTAAGTTTTCTGAGTCGAAGGACTCGCCTGATTGCCTGTTCCTCTTCGCGAAGTCTTAAGAAAAGTAATGCACCTTGCATTAGATCTGAAATTGTGTGCATGAATTTCCCCGCGATCAATAGAACCACATCGTCAGCATAGGCAATGTCTTTTGTTCCAGTGTTTTCGAGATCCATATGTGTGCCATTAATGACTATCTACCATAATATTGGTGATAGGACACTCTGTTCCCCTGGTGGTCGATCTCCTAATTGGACATCTCCCCAATGTGCGAATTAATAAATTTGCTGATGAACATGGCATAGTTCCATTCTACGAATAGGTAGTGTACATCAAGTTTTGAAAGAGAGTGACATTGTTAAAGGCTTCCTCGATATCGAAACTAGCTGCCAAAGTGAAGAGAGAACCATTAATATTTTTCCCGATGTGATCCATGACATCATCGAAATGGTCTATCATTCTTCTAGATCTAGTGCTGACAGATGCATTTGAAAGTACAAAGTATGAGAAAAATTTAAATTTATTTTACATTTGCGTGGAAGGTACCGGAAGAAGTAGGCTGACGATATACAAAGAAGAATTGGGCGATATACAAAGTTTGCATGAAATCGGATTCTTTCAGTGAGATATGGAACTTTTACAATTTTTACCATTTATATGGATGCCAGAAAAAGATTACCCATCTCCGTCTGAACCGAATCGGATACTTCTTTTTTAATCCATTATAGGGGCACCCATCGTTGTTTGGACCGAATCGAAGACTACCTTCTTATACATCTTCGTTTGGAACGAATATTCTTTTTTATCAATTATAGGAATATCATAATGAGAAAGAGTCTACCATTACTGATCATCTTTGTTCGGACGGAATCAGATACTTCGAGCATTATCGTACGCACCTTCCAGACAGACATAAAGACATTTTTGCCGTATCAAATGATATTCACTCTATGTAGCCATACGGCTGGTATAAAATTCAAATATAAACCTGGTTTTTGTCTCTTCGATTTTCACTTATAATAGGGCGAGCTATTAAAAACAAGACACTTCTCACAAGTAGTGAGCATTTGCAGATTGATTACTTACTTTTCTGTGATGATTCTCCACTATTTATGTGTTCCAAATATCTCCGCCTTCCTGTGATCGTTTCAATATAACCATTATTTCTGGCAAATTTAACTACTTTATCGATATAAGTCCTGTAAGAGCGCAAAGACACCATAAATCACTTAGATAATCAAACAAAAACACCTACAACCCTTACTAACCTTATTCCCGGGTAGGCTGCATGAAATTGTTCTGATACAAAATTAGCTTCTTGTTCGGTACATTTAAGACCCTCAGCTAATGCTCGCATACCCATGCCATAGACAATGCCATAACAAATTTGCTTTGTACCATTACGTAGCTGTTCGGTCACACTCTGCTCAGATATTTTATTCCATCGTGCAGCTATGGCCACAAAAACATCTTTTTCCGAATTCATTACTTTCATCAATGCTGAATCCTGTGATAGATGTGCTAAAATTCTCATTTCGAGCTGACAAAAATCAGACGAAATTAGGCAACGTTTCGTGTCCAGTGGATAAAAAGCACCACGACAAGAAATCGTAAATTTCTCCGAACCAATTTCCACATCAAAATCTTTGGCAACATTTTGTAGATTTGGTTCGGTCATTGATATGCGGCCCGTTGAAGTATACGTTATACTTTGGCCGTGAATTCTATTAAGAGAAATAAGATGAAACAATAAATAAAAATAAACTAGAGTTAAGTGTAAGAGAGACTAATAAATCCTCCATTTTTTTCTTCATCAACAAAAATGGTTTTTTCGAGATTTTTTATGAGTACGACCAAGTTACTTGGATAAATTACCTATCATCTTGAACACATTTCAGTAAGGGCTGTATATTCTTAGTTAATGTAACGCTAATTTTTCGATATGTAATTATCATTTGGGATATGGGTGTATCGATCTTCTCCAATATCTGTTTTGAGGTACTAACTCGACCATTAGTCTTGCGATGTAGACCCAAGACCTAATCATAGAAAAGAATTTGAGACACATAACTTTTTAAATATAATTTTAATTATCGTTTCAACACCTACCCTTGCCACCGCCGACGATGATCCCAAATTAAATTTTGATCCATGTAATTCATAGATTTTGGTTTCCAGTCTCTTCATGGCATCTACCATTTGTTGAAACAATTTATGTAGGGCTTCAGAACATGTTGGAAAGCCAACATCTTCCATATTGCAAAGGGAGATTTGCAAGGGCATTTCAAGCTCTGAAAACAAGATTCTATTAAACTGTATCTTTTTTAGAAGTGTTTTTAAATACCCTTAAAGAATTTGTGTAGCTGTCCCGTTCCAATGCGTTCCAAATTTTCAATTTGTCCCTTGATAATGTGTACACTTACACAACTCTCAATTGAACACCTACGACGAGGAAAATTTAATCAGTAACACAATATTGAATTTCAAATTATTATTCCATGAATAACATTACCTAACCTTAGCTAATATAGCACTATCTGAATCCAAGCCATAGCTGTAATATCCTCTACCACTGCCACACAAATTCACCAATGCCGAACATTCTGGGGAAAATTGTTGGGCCTAAACCAAAAGGAGTCAAAACTTTAATATTCGAATTATAATTCTTTTTGCGAAGCAGCCTTACCAAACTATGTAAATTATGCATCTTATCCGGCTGCAATAACCAATTGGCCACTTTAGGATCTTCCAAGGACACAGCAATCTCTCCCAAATCTTTTAAGAGCTTACGCAATATCTTAAATTGTTCTTTGGCATCGTAAACAATTAGACAGTGATCTTGGGAACGTAACAGCATCCGAAGATATTTACATTTTACCTCCGCCGTAAGACCTTTGCATGTTCCCTCCGCCTGCATATTCATATAGTATACCAAATTCTCAGATACACAGAAACCTATGCCAGCTAGATAATTTGTATCATCAATTTGAAAGTCAATATTCTGCATTGGCTTTTCACTATCTCTGTCAGCAGCTACCACTTGGTTAAGCAATAGATTTGCTCCTATTATGGGTTTACGCTTAGCAGTCTGTTGTTGAATACCCAAGCAAAAACCCAAACGTTTATTGTTCATAAATTCTTTGAAGGCGCCCTTGAAAAGTTGCTGGTCACCACATATATCAATGATATCTATGGACTTGAATGAAGAACAGTCCGGCTCCACTTTGGAGCAGCTTAAAATATGCGATGCATTCAAATGCATTGGATTTTTCATTAGAGAATTTTCCATTGAAAAATCCGATAACTCTATATTACTAGCTGAACTTGATTCCTGGGCAACTCCACCTGGAGGAGATGTAGATTTTGTAGAAGGCTCTTTTGTAGTGATTTCTAATACTTCCGGTTTATGAAGCTTCTTTTCAACCCCCCGCCCAGGTTCAGGTGTTACTCTGCCATGTAGTTCCGGCGTAACTCTACTCTTTTTTGTCATGGGACTTTGGGCTCTCTGTGTTGCCCTCAATGATCTGAGAAATCTTGAAGCATGTGGTGAATGTGTTTTATTTGTATTTACATCCTCACAAAGCTGCTGTGAACTGGGTATTTCATCCTCTGGAGATTGATTTAAAATTTCCTTGTCTCCTTGGCAATTTTCTACTTGCTTAATTGCTTCATTAATTCCAGTATTGAATACAAATGACTCTTCCATGTCATCGTTAAATAATTCACCAGGACTTTTGATTAATGTTTTGTTGGGTTTTTTACTTGGTGGCGGGGTTGCAACACTGGAAGACGTTTGATAGTCAATTCTTGTGGAACTGATTATCTGATTTCTTGGACTTCTTCTCAGAGCTTTCGTATTGCTAGTTCCAGAGTTCGTATTGCTAGTTCCAGTCTGCGGTTTTTGATGGGATGATCTTGGCGAAATTGTATTCGGGGTTTTGAATACTTCTTTGGATTTGATGGTGTTAGAGGTTCCATTGTTTTTCTTTTTATTAAGACTATCAGAATTCAAAATCTGTTGCGGATTTGCTTCTCTTTTTTCTTTATTATTTTCAGGCCTTCTGTCGTCTTTATCGGTACCTATTTTTTCCACAATATTTGATGTCGTTTTGGAAGACGTTCCAGATCCATTTTCTAAAGTGTTTCCAAGCTTTCCCTCCTTATTTGGTGTACTTTCCTTCCGATTGTCTGGTTTCTCTTTTTCTAGCTCTTGTTCGCGTTTCTTAGCCCATTCTTGCCTTTTCATCTCCGATAATTGTTTAGCCCTTAATAATCGTTGAGCTTTTTTACTGGTACTCGGTTTTTCACCATCATCCGGGCCATTATTTTTTCCTTCTCCATCGCTTTTTCTTAATTTGGGAGGAGTAACATCGGTATTTATCTCTGGCATTTTTTCAGATGATTTACGTTTTTCATTTAGTGTTTTTGTTTCGGATCTGAGTTTTGTAGATATATCATCACCATTCTCGGCAGACATCTGTTCAGCAGATTTGCGATGTCCATTAAGTTTTTTAGGTCCAGGTGATATTATCTCAGGAATCTTCAATATTTCTACATCTTTCGATTTTAAATCTACAGATATTGAATTGTTCGATTTTGAGTCTACTTGCATGGCCATCTTATTGGATTTAAACTCGTTTAGATACGATGATTTCGTTTCTGTTTTCTCAACGGATGGTCTTTTGGAAGCAGTAGTTGTCGGTGCTAACGGCGTTTCGGCATTTTGTCCCCTAGGTTCTTGTGTTTCCTTCCTTTCTTCCTGTAAAGATTTCACTTCTTGCCTTGCATTGAAATTTAGATTTTCCTTTATTTTATGGTCCTTATTTTCATTTTTTCTGGAATTTCTTTTTTCTGTTGACTTTGATATTTCACTTTTTCCAATGGATTCTATAGTGTTTTTAGCTTTAGAATCAACTACGTTCTTCCGAGCTTTATGGTTATTATCTTTTCTGTTTACATTATTTTCTTCCTGTTCACCTTTAGGAATATTAGCATCTTTGGTTTCCCCATTAATGTCACCATTTTGTTTTCCCTTTCCATTGAATTTATTTTCTTCATAAGACATATGCAATTCACTCTCATTTTGCGATGCAGGATTCTCATCCAAATTGTCCTTTGGTTGAGACCAATTAATATTGCCAACACCTATTTCGTATTGTACAAATCTGCGAGCCTCCTGTACCAATAACTTGGCAGCCTCCGCCACAGTTATACCCGCCTTTCCAGTTATATAGAAATTACGGGCCTCATTTCTCTGGGCCGCCTCTAAAGCATTTTCATTGTCATGCTGTTTGGCAGAATCGAAACTTAAGGCATTATACAAAATCTTTTCCACACTCAAAACATCGGCATTTGCCAGATCTACCAAAGATGTTATTCCAGCATCGAACAAGGCTCTGGCTCTTTTATGGTTCAAATCGGGAATACGCATTAAATCAATGAGGTCACGATGTACACCAAAATACAAACGTTCTTTAAACTGCGATACAATCAAACTTAATGTATCCCATTGCAGGGAATTGCAAAAGGATGTAACAATACCGGCAAATGTTGAAGCCATTTGTTGCAAACTCTGTAACATGCCACGGGAGCATTTATACTTTGAGGCCACTGTGTTAATGGGCACTTCGTTTACCAATTCCTGCAGTGCCAGGGCTGTGTAAAATCTGCCAAGTAAATACATCATTTTAAAGAAATTAATACTTCATATATTCCTTTCTTCGATTTTACCTCTTGTGTATTTGCATTAGTTTGTAGTCCAATTTAGATTGGCCACGCATTGCCCTCACCAAAAAAGATTCTTTAATACCAACCAATTCCCCGACTTTTTTCATTGCTGGTGTTAGTTTTTCAAATAGATCCAAAAAGAATAGCCAATCTAAATCTTGCAATTGATAGCAAACAGAATATGGTGTTACCAAATACACGGCATGTAGTTCTGACTCTAGGACAAAACATCTTCTTGATTTTTGTAATTCAGCAAAGAGGATTAAACCATCAGTGGGTGGCATTGACGATGCTATGTAAATAAATTATTGAAAAAGAGAAGAGAAAAAAATATATATTATTTTTGCTTATAAATTCATTAAAGTGGCATAACATTACCCAAACAAGCCATTCCCAATCTTGTGGCCACATAACACTGTTCATTAGTTTCTTCATTGTTTTGTAGACGCACAAACTCATACTCCACTAGAAAATCCAAAGCCCCACTTATAAACTCATCTTGTAACGATTCCTTGCTATCCTCGCTCTGCTCATTAGCCAATTGTTTTTGAGTACTTAGAAGAGTGCACTTGACAAAGTTATAAATATCTTCCTTGGTTGTGGCCACACCAGAGGATATAACTTCTAATAGAGCACGTTTTAAATGGGTCTGAAATTTAAGACATTTTTAAAAATATCTTATAAGGATGTATGATGATTAGTAAATTAAACTTTTAGTTTTGTATTAAATTTAAAATAAACTCCTGGAATAGAGGTTTTTCGTTCGAGTTCAATATCATTTTTTCATAGTTAAACAGAAAATTTACTCACACTGCTATCCATTTCCAAGCATGAGTATATCGGTTTCAAATCTGCTGTAACTAAATCTTTTCCCACACGAGCATTGCTTTCGGTACATATGAGAATAGATTCGCCCAAAGTGTCCTAGAAATATCCCATTGAAATATTAGAATTCCCTATGCGAACTAAATGAATATCCTTTATACCTTTCCTGTCCTACCAGCCCTTCCAATCATCTGGCGATAAGTCAATGAGCTCATCTGTTTGCCTCCAAAGAGAGGTGAGCGAATTAAAACACGGCGGGCAGGCAAATTTACACCTAAAAACGTATTTTTCAAATGTAATAGTAATGATGAACCATAGCCATTATACTCACCAGAACTTAAGGTACTTGTGGCAACAATTATTTTTAAAGCCCCCGACTTGAAACTTGCCTCAACAATGTCTCTTTCCTCGGTGGTAAGGCCGGCATGGTGGAAAGCACATCCGAATGTAACTGTTTTCTCCAATACATTATCCAAGCCTAAAAAATATAGTTTTTATAATAAATTGAACACTTGTTTTTCAAATACTTACCAGTTGGAATATCTCTGAGTTGTTGTTTTACTTCATCTATTGCTTCCCTATTTAGTTGGGCCTTCAATTTTATACCCCATTCACCACCCTGTTTGCCAATGGCATGTATGGCACCAGCCAATTGTGTGGCCAAGTTTTCACACCAATCTTTCGAGGGACAAAAGACAATAACCGAACATCCTTCTATGATTGTCTCCAGACACAGTTGGGCTATGTGATCCGAATCATTTGGAACCGAGGGAAATGGTTCGCGAACATCCACCGATGGTTCGGTTATAGAACGTATTACTTTTAACTGATTATTGTATATTTTATTTCCAACTTTGATCATTTCATTCAGAGCCACAGGACGAAAATCTGTTATAAATATTTCAGCGTCCAACCACTTTTGTAAAAGTTGAACATTGGCCAATGTGGCAGACATGGTAACTACCTGTATCTGCAGGGCATATTTGCGTGACATATATAGGATCTTGGCCAATAGCAACTCTAGGATATAACCTCGTCCGGGATCGGATATTAAATGCACCTCATCCACAACCACGGTGCCAATTTCATCCAATTTGCCTTGTTCTAGTAATTTATTTACAATTGAATTTGCCTTTTCAATGGTACATATGGCAACATTTATGCTATCAAATCCTCCGGGAGGGGTGTAACCACCGAAAAATCCTTCTACACGATATCCGGCTGCTGTCAACAGATCTTGTAGATAGAACATTTTTTCGCGTACCACAGATATGAAAGGTAATATGAGGAGTACCTTTTTGCTACGTTCCAATACGGTTTTAAGCAATAGAATTTCACTAACTAGGGTTTTTCCTGCCGACGTTGGGGCAGAGTATACCAAATTGCAGTGTTCGAAAAGAATCTATGGGAATATAACGATTACATTTTAGAAAATTATAAACCGTTAATTCTTACCTTGGGGTTGCAAAGACACTGGACTTGCCAGTCAAACATTTGTTTAACCCCCTTACGTTCATATTCCCTGAGAACACTTAATGGCAAATTCCAAGCAGATATGGATTTTAGAGCATCCAAATTATTTGATATTGCCATTTGTGCCTTAGGCTCTTCATGCTTCACAGACGATTCACATTTCTTAATCATTTGGGTTGACTTTGTTTTAGACACTTTTTCAGGTGACTTCCTTTCAACGGGTGGCGATTGTGGTGGAGAATCTTGTGTAAACTTCAATTGGTCAGGGGACATATGACTTAGGCTAATATCATTTTGTGCCACAACAACAGACTGTTCAGATTCTTTGAATATTTTACGACTTGTTTTCAATTCCTTTTCAAGAGTTTCTTTTCTTTGTTCATCGTGATTTTCGACTTCTTGCGGATGACAAAGGAAACTGCTGATTTCATGCAGGACGACTTCAGATTTTTCTTCTTGTAAATTATCATTGGGTATGACAGATAATGGTAAAGAATCTTTCCACATATCAACATCATCGTTGGGATCTTCCGTATCCAATAGGTCTTTTAGGTCTTCAGAGAATATGGGTTTTTCTAATGACTCGCTGCTATCATTATATTCTCCCTCATTTGTGGCATTTAAGTTCTCATCACAACCCAAAGAATCTCTGGAAACATTTTGTAAACTATCCTCATTGCTTTTGCCGCCGGTACATTCCTCTAACTGAAACGATATTTGATTGTCACTTGTGTGGAGTTTTTCCTCATCCTTCTCCTGTACGGGATCTATACAATTGAAAGCTGCTTCTATTTGTGAAACTCTCAAAAACGATTCACTGCCTTCGCTTGTCTTGGCTTTAGAAACATCGTCTGGAATGGAAAAGTCACTACGAAAAAATTCAGAATAATCTGTGTTTTCATCTTTTGGTGCCTTTGGGAGAGTAGTATCGGATTTACTACGCCTAAATTTCCTGTGATATGTGGAGTCAGTGGTCCTTGTATTCGTACGTTGTGTAGCATTACGGGATCGCAAGGAAGCCGAAAATAACGAAGTTTTGTTGTTCGACTTTGGAGACTCGTCTATGACATCCAAACCTCTCTCATTTGGAGCACGATTCTCCTGATCAGCATTCAAGGCATGTTTTGCCTGGCTTTCCAGTTTCATGAAAGTACTATTGCCAAAATCAAACGATTGGGAAAATTCCATATTTATTTTTACTAATTAAAAATTAACTTTTCTTTCAAATTGCAACAAAAAAATAAAAAAAATTGAAATATTTAACAAAAATTAAATAAACAAATGAGCGCGGCAAACGACGTTCCCAATGAAGCAAATGAAAACAATAAAACAGTCAGCTGTTGTTTACTTCTAAATACTGTAACTAGTGACCTCTAATTCAAGCGAACGCTTGAACAACCATGGTAGAATAAATAAGGTAAAGTCATGCAATCATATGTTTACAACTTTTTCAAAATTGTTAATTTGACAATATTTCACTGTCGAAATGGGAATCCTGGGATTCAGGGGAATAATATGAAAGCACTAAAATTATATATTTAAAGAACTATTCTCCGGCAAATATCTAAATTCCAAATATGTACATTTTTGAAATTCAAGTAATTTATTGAAAATTAAATAGTGTTGATTACATTTTTGGCACATGTATTACAAAAACAAATTAGTATGTGGTTGTTGTTTCGTCTGTTGTACAACAACACTTGCTGTTACCTGTTTTACTCCACCTTGAATCTTGTTTATTTCTTCAAGACATGGTGTATTGAATAATGTAAACCATAAATAAGGAAACAAAAAATTTAAAAAAGCACGATGGTTTTTCTTAACAAGTCACGCATTTTCATAAGGAAAAAAAATCAATTCATGGTTAAATTATGGAACAAACTGAAAATATTTGACAGCGAAACACATCACGAAACATGCGTTGGCTGTTTAATTGTTGCACACAAAGGTTTTACAGTTTTACTTCTTTGTCTTCCTGCGTCAATCTCTACTTCAAACGCTATGATATTTTGATTGTCAACTCCTTTTAATGTATAAAAATGACAAATTCTCGTAAAACGAATGATTAAGACGCCGGTGTATAGCAGGCATAAATCATTTTCTCCTGAGTGACATAATAATTTACAAATTTATCACATTTTTGGAGTCTCATTCTTTTGTTGCAATATATTTTCTTTATTTGCTATAAAACATCTATACTTTCCATCCCTGATATATGTCCTCTCATCTGGATTTTCGGCAAAAGTCGATTCTTAAAAACCTATAGCCGTCCAATTGTCGATCTACAATCCCCTAAAACTTTTGTTTTCATCTTGGAAAGGAACGGGTAAAGACAAGGCGGTTTGTTATCAAGATATCCCCTTCTCCTAACTGGCGATAACAGATTGACATTACCCAACAAAACCAATTTGACATTTGGTAAACATTCCTTTAACCAAAAGTATTTTCATAACTTTATTTTTTTAAACGTTTCAAGCCACTACTTATGGAGGAATTTAAAAAACCAACTCTTCCGGTTGCTCCCGCTGGGAAAACAGAGAAAACAAAAGAAGAATTCAAAAAACCGAGCACTGAAGAGAAAGCCGTAGTAAAAGAAGAAGCTCTAAAAAATCTACCGGCAACTAATAAGCCACCCCAAACATGTCCCTACAAAGTTCCACTGTGGTCCAGAAATCCTCCCCAAAAATGTAGTTATGCCTTTGAAGTTCTAAAATCGGGTCAAATCATAGATGAAGTCAAAGACTTACAAACAAAACCACTTTGGACGTTCGGTCGCTTGCCGGAGAATGATATAGAAATGGCCCATCCAACCATATCAAGATTTCATGCGGTTTTGCAGTATAGGCCCAAGGAAACTGCAACACAGGGCGGTGATAAAGATGATGATGCTGAGGAGGAAAAAGAGGAGATAAGTGAGGAGAAAACTAAGGGACCACCGGAAGGATGGTATATTTATGATTTGGACAGCACCCACGGAACTTTTTTGAACAAGCAAAGAATACCCGCCAAGGTGTATATTCGAATACGTGTCGGACATATTTTACGTTTGGGAGCCAGTACCAGATCTTATATTCTCCAGGGACCAACAGAGGATGAAGAACCTGAATCAGAATTGACAATAACGGAGCTAAAGGCAAAACGCCAACGGGATTTGGAGGAAGCTGCACTGGAAAAGAAACGTTTGGCAGAAGAAGCTGCAGAAAGGGAACGAAATGAGGGATGTAGCTGGGGCATGACTGACGATGCCGATGAGGAAACTGATTTAGCCCATAATCCATTTGCTGCCACAAATAATGAAGAACTTTTCCTCGATGATCCCAAGAAAACATTAAGGGGATATTTTGAACGTGAAGGCTTGGATTTGGAATATAAGTGTGATGAAATGTCTGCGGGTTCATTTGTCTGTCGCGTAGAACTACCTTTGGATGATGACAATGGTCGTCCAATTGTTGCTGAAGTTGTACATAAGGGAAAGAAGAAGGAATGTGTGGTCCAGTGTGCCTTAGAAGCATGTCGCATACTCGATCGTCATGGTGTCCTTAGACAGGCTAACCAGGAACCCCAAAAGCGTAAGCAAAAATCGAAAGATTCCGATTCAGATGATGATGAGTTTTGGGATCGTACCGGAGATGTGGCAAGGAAGAAACAACGAAGAAGTAATACCACTACAAATGTCACATTGACATATGAAGATTTGGTAAGTGCGTAACTGGGTTTTATATTTTGTACTATTAATAAATTATTTCTTATAATTATTTTTAGCTAAAACAAGAGAATGAATTGAATAAAGAACTTCAACAAGTCCAGGCAAATATCTCTGCATACCAAGAGAAACAAAAGCTGCTCAAAACACAAAAAGAAAATGAGGAATCCAATGATGACCTAGATAGTTATATGGAAAACTTACAAGCAAAAGAAACGCCTGTGGATAAAATAGAAATAAAAAAGTTAAGGGTAGGGAGATTAAAGATTGGAAAATGACTCAAGCAAGAAATGATTTTATACTTTATCTTTTATAGCTCGAAGAGTTGCGTTTGAAAACGGAAATACAACGAAATCAGAGACTGCTAAAGATAGCGAAACCAGTTGATTTACCCTTTATGAGAAATCCTTTAGAACAAAGCAAAAGCGAACAGGCGCAAGGAGAAGTGAAGAAAAGGCAATTGCCAATGATTGGCAAACGTAATCAATTTAGTAAATTTAAAATTGTTAAACCCCTAGAGAACAGCAGTGCAAGTAAAAGTTCAAAACCGCCTGCTCAGTTGGCATCCGACGAAGAGGAGGTAGAAGAAGAAGATAGCGTCGAAACTAAAGTTGTAGATGATGAAAAACACAAAGCGGAATCAAAAGTTAATATTGATGAAATATTCGAAAGAAATCTAGAGAATCAGGAAGATAAACCAAATCTAATTAAACCATCATTAGATGTGGATGAAGAAAGGAGTGAATCTCCATCCAAGGAATCCTCAAAAATGGATGAATGTACTGAAAAGATAGTCCCAAAGGTTGAATGCAATAGTGAACCAGAAAATAAGAAAGAACAATGCAAATCAGATGCTCCTAGCAAAGATGAAAAGAAAGACTCAAATCTTAATGAATGCCCCAAGAAGAAAAGGCAACGCAACCGACAACGCACTAAACGTGAAGCTGAAATGGAGGACGACATTGAATATGAATCATCGGATAAATATGCCAAATGGGTACCACCAGAAAATCAAACTGGAGATGGTATTACCGAATTAAATAAGAAATATGGTTATTAAGTATTTAAAAAAAATTCTATAATAAATAAGGAAAAAAAATATGTTAAGTCAACAAAATTGTATCCTGCCCTCAAATTAAGTTTTTTCCTGAATCTACTAAAGTAAATGTAGGATGTTTCAGTTTTTTTATTAAATGTACTCTCCAATTACTTCTTACGTTCGTAAGAGAATTTATAAACGGGTGCAGAATCCTTAGTGCCAGGTTTCTTTTTCCTAGGTTTCAGCAAGCGAGGCTGTTGCAGAGCCTTTTTAATTTCAAGTTTCTGTTGCACAACTGCCAATTCCTTCTCACGTTCTATACGTTTCGAAAGTTCTTGATATGACTGCAGTTTCAAAAGGTTAGCCTTTTTGATTTCCTGCAAGCAAATTAAAGCAATAAACATATTGATTTCATTTCAAAATTTAATTTCATTACCTCTGGACTTAAAACAGGTATTTGCAACTTTTCCAAATCCTTCAATCTGGGACGATTTGTTTTTCTATCCAACATACTGGGATGGGTTTCCAAACGTTCCGCCAGTTCCATATCACTTAGCTCCTTAGCCTCAACATATTCAGCATTTTTCTTCGGTTCATCTTCAAAGAATAAATGTTTATTGGGCACAGTATTGGCGAAATCGATCATGTGCAGCTGAGATTGTAATCGTTTAATTTTCTTAGCTTCCATTGTACGTTTCATTGTGATATATTTGATATCTTGTGTCTCCATCAAAGCTAACTGTTCCTTACTGTGCTCATCCTTTTCGCCTTGTTCTTCATGATGTTCACCATCATGCAACTTGGAACGTATCATATGATGATAGAATTCATCGGGATTTTTATTCAGAGCACGTTTGTGCAACAATTGCAAAGTCTTGGCCTTACGCTCAGCATCCCGGGCTCGTTTGCGATAATCTTTCTTCTTTTCTAGGAGACCAAGATGTGCTCGTGACTCTGGCTGATGTCTTTCCCTGTGGACTTTTTGATTGCTCTTCGATGCCTTTTTCCAAGAAGACATTTTGGGGAAATAGATTATTCAGCAATAAATTTATTATATATTCTTGTTATTCTTAAATTTCAACTTTTTCGACCTTTCAGGAATCAAAGTGAGAAATGAAAACAAAACACAAGCACATGTGAAGAAATTGTAAACATTGAGAACTGAATGACAGCCATAAATAGTGTTGCCAATGTTATGATACTCAAAAGCGTCATCAGGGTATTTTTTATGGAACCATTAATACATGTAGTTGTCTTTTATAGGAAATATTTAAAGGAAAAAATAATAGGGTGATTAAAAAATATATAGGGTAGTTAAAAAAAAACTCGCTCAAGTTTTATGTTTTGTTTCACTGTCAAACATCATCACTTTGGTCTAATTTTTTAATAATGAATCGACTTGCAAAGGAATAACTCTTGCAAATAATTTACATTTTTATCAAAATGCGTGTTTTGCTACGAAAACACATTTTTGGCTCAATTGGTACATAAATAAACGGAATTGTCAATTTTGGCATGGCAAAAGCTACTAATGCATACAGGCGCAGTTTATGGACAGTTGACATTATTGGATCGTACTTCTTCAAATATTCCCTTCAAAAAAATCACGTGTAACAATGATCTTATTTTATGTATGGACATTTCCCAATTAAATTATAAGTAATATTGTATTTCAACTCCATAATTGGAATTAATATACTTTGAAAATGCGAAATGGAATTTTTTAAAAAGTAAAGAAATGTCAATTAAAAAAAAACAACGATAGGGCTTTGATGATATTACTTTTTACTATTTAAAATTTACTACTGATATTTTACTCCACGACGAAAAAAACATTTGGGTGAAGTTTTTAAAAGAATTAACCACTTTCTAGTTCCTTTTGATATATTTGATATATGAACGGCCTACAGACATTTTTTCGATACATTTTCAATTTTAAGATAACCAAAAAAATTAAAAAATAGGTACAAAATGTCTGGATGTCAGAGATATGGGGAAAGTGTGCAGAAGTCGTGCAAACACTAAATTTTTTAATAGTTGATTACTCTGCATTTATTTTCTATTAAAACATGACCAAACCCATTTTTCTGTCAAATTTCTGTACTTCTTCGATTTACTAAATTGGCGTTTTAAAGTACCATTATTGACAACACTTTTTTTAGTATTTTACAGGTGGCAACGCCGTTTTAGAATGAGATGAGGAGGCGAGTGAAAACAAAACAAAACTAACACGTGCAACTCACTTTGACGGGATAGGAACTGTTGCCGATTTTATTTGTTTAATTGCATTTTTTAAATAAGAATTTAATAAAATATAACTTTACAAAATGGTTAAGAAGAAAATTGATAATCGCATTCGTGTTATGATTGAGAATGGCGTGAAATTGGGACATCGTACTATGTTTATTATTATCGGTGACAAGGCTAGAGATCAAGTGCCCATACTCTATGACATTTTGACCAAGTCCACAGTAAAAGCTAGACCCTCAGTTTTGTGGTGCTACAAGAATAAGGATGAGGCTATTTCCAAGTAAGTGCAGGGTGTTTTTTTCCCACTGAAATTCCATTGATATTATATTTTTATTTAATTTTTAGTCATGGCAAGAAACGTGCCAAGAAAATAGCTGCTGGTAAAATTGACATCAACGATGCCGACCTGTTTGATACCTTCCGGGTGTCGACCACAATTCATGGTCGTTACTATTCCGAGACACATGCCATATTGGGTAGAACTTATGGTGTTTGCGTTTTGCAAGATTTTGAAGCTCTAACACCAAATTTATTGGCTCGTACAGTGGAAACTGTAGAGGGTGGCGGTTTGATTATATTGTTGTTGAAAACATTGAATTCTTTGAAACAATTGTACACCATGAGTATGGATGTGCACAAACGTTTCCGTACCGAGGCTCATCAAACGGTGACATGTCGTTTTAATGAACGTCTTATATTGTCTTTGGCCGATTGTAAACGTTGTTTGGTGGTCAATGATGATTTAACTGTTTTACCCCTAAGTTCAAAGACAGCGAATGTTGTTCCGGTTAATGTAAGTAATCTATTAATGTAATAAAGGTTTATGTTAATAAGATGTTATTTTTGTCTTCAGCCTGCTGAAATCACCAAGTCTGAAAATAACGATCTGCTGGTGGAATTGAAGGAGAGCTTACGTGACACTCCCCCAGCGGGACCTCTTGTAAATCTATGTAAAACATATGACCAAGCCAAGGCAGTGGCCCAGTTCATTGATGCTTTGGCCGAAAAACAACTAAAGTAAGAATTATTATTGTGTTTTGAAATCCAGGCTTACAACTCTTTGTTCTTTCAGACCACCCACTTCTTTGACCGCTGCTCGTGGTCGCGGTAAATCTGCCGCCATGGGTCTTTCAATTGCCGCTGCGGTAGCTTTCGGTTATGTCAATATCTATGTGACTTCACCCCATCCAGAGAATTTAATTACTCTCTTCGAATTCGTATTAAAAGGCTTCGATGCTTTGGAATATCAGGAACATACTGACTATACAATTATACGTTCGACCAATCCAGATTATAAGAAAGCCATTATACGCATTAATATTACCCGTTCCAATCGCCAAACGATTCAATATATTGCACCCAATGATACACATCTGTTGAATGCTGCTGATCTTTTGTTGATTGATGAGGCAGCTGCCATTCCTTTGCCGTTGGTAAAGAAAATGATTGGACCCTACTTGATATTTATGGCTTCCACAATTAATGGTTATGAGGGTACGGGAAGATCGCTTAGTTTGAAGCTGATTTCACAATTGCAAAAGGAAAATTCAGCACCACCGCCGGTAGGATAATTTTTTGAAATTTTATAAATTATATTTATTTATACTTTTTTCTTTTAATAGATTAAACTCGATGAGTCCATCCGTTACACGCAAGGTGATGACATTGAGAGCTGGCTTATTAATTTACTTTGTCTGGATGCCACCAGTACTGTGCCAAATATCAGTTCAGGTTGTCCCACACCTGATGCATGTGAACTGTACTACATTGATCGTGATGCCTTGTTTTCATATCACAAGGCAGCTGAATCATTTTTACATCGATTGGTTTCGATCTATGTTTCATCCCATTACAAGAACAGTCCCAATGATCTGCAAATGATGAGTGATGCACCAGCCCATCATTTATTCTGTCTACTGGGTCCCATTCAACGTAAAGATCAATTACCAGAAATTTTGGTAGTTATCCAAGTGGCTTTGGAAGGTGAAATATCTTCACATACCATTACTGATTCTTTGGGCAGGGGTAAGAAAGCTAGTGGTGATTTAATACCTTGGAATGTTTCGGAACAGTATGGTGATCGAGAATTCCCTAAATTGGCTGGTGTGAGAGTAGTGCGCGTTGCTACACATCCTAACTATCAAAGGGTGAGTTGTGTTCCATGGAAGATAGAATCAATATTAATTTTTATAATGGGGTTCTGGATGTCATTTGGTTTATGATTATCATCTTAACAATTTGTAGCAGACATTAGAGATTTAAATTGAAAAAAAAAAAAAAAATAATATCTAAATTTTTCGAAAATTTCCACTTTCAGATGGGCTATGGTAAAAGAGCTTTAAAATTGTTGAAAGATTACTATGGAGGCAAATTTACAGATTTAAATGAAAACAATGGTCTCAATGAAGACAATGGTAAGTGTAACTAATGCTCAAATGGGAACACAACTAATTTATTCTTCTTTCCTCATTAGGTATCGAAGAAGTTGAGGAGGAAGATGTTGGTTTGCTCAAAGAACAAATACGTCCTAGACGTAAAATACCCACCCTTTTGAAACGTTTAAATGAACGTTTACCCGAAAACATAGACTACTTGGGTACCTCATATGGTCTGACACAGGAGCTATTGAAATTCTGGAAGAATTTAGGTTATGTTCCTGTCTATCTCAGCCAGAAAGCCAATGATTTGACTGGTGAACATTCTTGCATTATGTTACACACGCTAGACAAATCAGGAAGCCTTACAGAAAAAGTCAGTGCCGAATGGCTTAGCTTATATTTCAATGACTTTAGGCGTCGTGTTCTAAAACTTTTGGGTAAAACCTTTAGAGAATTCCCCACCAGTTTGGCACTCTCTTTGCTCGACAACAAATGGGTAAAGCTACAGCAGGAGGAACTTAATAAACAAGTTTTGGACGCCTATTTCCTGCCACATGATTTGCAACGTTTGGAGTCATATTCCCGCAATCAAATTGAATATCGTTTAATATTGGATCTTACCTCCGATATTAGTTATTTATATTTCCAAGGTAAAATATCTGAACTGCAAATTGATACACTACAAAAGGCAATATTATTGGCAATTGGTGTGCAAGGTAAAACCGTTGATGGCATTGCCGAAGAGCTGAATATGCCAGGCAATCAAATATTGGCCAAATTCTATGATTTAATTAAAAAATCATCGAAATATTTCTCCAATGTTATTGAGGGTCACATTGAGAGTACCATGATTAGTGAAACTAAATTAAAGCGGGGCGATGATTTTGAACCCATTTCATTATCGCTCAATGAAGAACTTGAAGAGACTGCCAAACAAATAACAAAGAAACAAAAAGACGATTTGAAACGTTTGAAAATGGAAAGTCTCAAAGAGTTCGCGATCAAGGGAAGTGATGAGGATTGGTCTAAGGCATTGTCGGGCAAAGATGGCAAACCAAAGTTAATATCTGTTAAAAGGTAATTAGACATTACAAATTTATTAGATTTGATTTAATTTCTGTTGCTTTTTTTAGTGGCGTAAAACGTTTAGATGAACCCTTGGAGGCACTAAAATCGGACAATGAACCCAAAAAGAAGAAAATGAAATTTGGCAAAAAACTTAAAAATAAATCTGTAATTTAGTTTCTATATAAATTGTTTTATATTAATGTATTTTAATGTATACTTTTTGTAGTTTTACAAATGAAGATAAAACACAATATATAAGAAAATTAGTTTTTTAATTCTTTCCTCTTATGTAATGGTGAAATGGTGGTTGATCCGTAGAGTTGCATCAGTTATTTTAACCGCTTTTGTATTGATTATCCCAAAAGGCAGAAGGGAAGATTACTTATCATCGCTATGCTGCTAAGAAGTGCTATCAGAGTGTGATGTTGAAAATATGCTGAGACTTTGACCACGTAAAGGTGATCTCAAACTTTGACCATTTCTAGGCCAACATAAATAGGTTTCCATTGTGGGGGTATAAAAATATGGTGTAGCTATTGAATTGCCTGGCCAAAACCCCTATTTTGCGGAATGAAATATCTCTCAACGTAGTTGGATGAGTGTGTCCTCTTTCAGTCCAAATACACTTCTATACTCGCTCGATCACCTGTTTAACACTGTTTATTCTAATTTTCAATTTAACTTGCTACCAGACCTCCGATAAACTCGCTATAATTAGTGCAAAAAATTAAACTCGCTCGAATTGTAGTGAAGCACTCCTTAGATTAGGAAAATTTGAGCTTACTCAAATTACTTACTTACTTTTGCTATGCCGCCGAATAGGAGTTTTAAAGTTTTTGTTCGAAATGGAGTATACCTTACTCTTGCCGATCACAAACCGTTGTCTACTTGGTTCCGCTGTTTTTCGCTTCATTGATATCCAACGCCTATTGGATAGTACAGGGTGAGAAAAAAAAAACTGAAACAAAGTCAAATGCCATTCATCATTTCAATCATTTTTTTAATTCTATTGAATGAAAGCAAAAAATGTCGGAAATAGCATCAAATTTTAGAATAAGTTTATATTTGTTCGGAGATTTTGGTGGCAATTGTGCGCTGGAAATGAAGCGAGTAACCTCATTTTGTAACCGTTCTTGGGTGTCGTGTGCTGAGTCCTCTAGGAATGTCCTAGGTCTGCGGCCAAAATTTTTGCGTGCCAAATACTTTAATACATCCTCCAAAATATTTTCGCGATAATATTTGGCATTTATTCTGATGCCACGGTCGATTAATACGAGCGGAGAGCGACCATCGGCTGTTATGGCGGCCCACACCAATACCATGGCTGGCGCTTGACTTCTGGTAGCCAACCGAAGGTGCACATTTTCAGCTAACCTCTTTGTCAAGTAAACACGATCATTTTGTTTGTTCACAAGCTGCTGGACAACGAATGTTTTCTCATCGGAGAAAACCAAATTCGGCAGTTCACCACTTTCGGCCAAGCGAAGCAACTCTTTAGCTCTTTTAAGTCTATTTTCTTTCTGTTGCGGTGTAAGTTCTTGCACATTTTGGAATTTCAATGGTTTTACGCCGAGCTCATTTTTAAATATTTGCCGAATGGAATATTGAGATATATTCAGCTCACGAGCCATTTTTCGGCCACTGCGATGCGGGTTCCGATCAAGTCGCTTCTTTACTTTTCGAACCATTTCTGCTGATGTTGCTTTTTTCTTCCGTCCACTTCCTTGACGTCGGGCTACGCTACTGGTATCAGGGTAACGATCGATGGTACGAGACACAAAAGATTCCAGCCAAATAGAAAGAAATCACATTATCACGCTTGAATTCCATCACGAATACCTTTCTTTCTGGAAAATTCTCACTAAATTGCTTTTGTACGCTTGTAAACAATATAATGATCTGTCACTGGAATAATATTAACAGCTGTCGGATGAGTGGCTTAGAAATGACAGCAGTCTGAATTTGGTTGCAGTTTTTTTTTAGATTTTCAATCGTTCTTATACAACGTTATTCCACCTAGAGGTCAGATATTTGATACTGCAGTGGCATATTGAGATATGCCCACCACGGTTCTTACATCGGACCTAGTTATTAAAAGAAGAACACACGTTATTTTTTCGAGATTGCCGATCAGATGCTTCTAGATATTTTGCAATCGGTTTCCTGATGCAATCATCTGCCAGCTTCGTCGATCAGAGCCTTTTCGAATCTCTTTCATCGGTAGATTTATTGACTCGGAACCACCCCGAGCCGCCCGCCGTTTCATTCATGGGATCCAACAAAGCTTAATGAATTCACGTATTTCAATATAGGCTTTCTTTCAGTCAAGAATAGCTCTTGATTTAATGACACTCGACTTGATAGCCTTGAGGGTCGCCTGACTATTGGCATATATAGTCACTGGTCCTGTTATGCTGGAACAAAGTTCTGTATCAATTAGCCGTAACCTTATTGATTGGGAGAATTTTCGCTGCAGTTGTCATTAAGCGTATTTGAGCGTTTAATGATTGGATTTTGACAGAATATGCCCATATGGCTCGTCCAGAGGATGTGCATCAGTAGCCCAAGCGTCTCCCTTCGGCATAATTACGTCAATCAAATTGAAGTCAGAAGGGGTAAACATGGGAACACTAATTGTATCACCTTCATCTAAAATATTCCCGCTTCTGTGTATGTCCGGGATTCCTGCATGACCAAAACGCGAAGTGTGTTATGCTCCCGCTTGTCGTAGTTTCAACGCACTCTTGATGTTTGAAACTAAGCCAACACATACAATGGCTGGATGTTTAGCATCACGTTAAATGCGGATTGAGGAGTGCTCTCGAGAGATCCAGTTATCAATAAAGTGGTTAATTGGGACATGAGCGACCTATGAGCAAAACACCCATAGGTCAGAAATGGTAAGGCTTCTGTGACGTACATCCCATGTATGATTTGTGGTCGAAACCCTCAGCTCTTTCCTATAGCGTTCCTGTATGTATAGAGGGCAATAAGATTTTTTGTTCGTGCGATACTCGGTGTTTCTACCCAAGTTTAAACGCTGGTTCAAAAGCGTACACTATTCAATACTGGTAACGAAAATTGATCTAGTTTGAGCTTTCTAGTGGATAGCACTGTTCAGTTTTTGTAGGGTTCACTCCTGGGCCCAATCAGACTATTGTACTGCTGCACCTTGCATTCAGTCTGCGGGGAAGGATGATATTGCATTCCGCATGAGCATAACCTCTGCAGTGCTCCCTTTTTTTCTGATGAAAGACGTAGAAAGCTGAAAGCCTACGAAATCTTGGAAACGGAACCTCCGACCCTAGCCAACTTCTCCAAGAGTCAAAAATGGTTATGGGGTAGACCAGACCGGCCTCCTCTATATTTTTAACTATACATAGATTTATTTAACCTAACTTATCCTAACGATACCTTAGTTTCGGGTGTTTAGAGGATATGAACCCTTCCTGCAGAAAATATTCAGTGAAGGTCTGGTTTATTGTGTTTTGAAGGTTTCAGCAGCAATTTTGAATAGAATTGACTTCTATTTTCGAATTATGCTTCTCCATGAATGAATTTCCCAATTAGGATTCTCCATGACCTGGAACAATTTTTCGATTTCGTTTCATGTTTTGACAGAAGACTCAATCTTAGGTATTTTGAAAGTCACTAGCAATTTTTTCCGCCGTCTGTGGCTGTTCAATAAAGATCCAAGTTTTGAAATGGCGCCCAAGTAATGGTGTCTCCACATTTATTGATTACAAACAAATACTCAAATATATGATACCACATACCGCGTAAAAAAATTGAAAATGTTAACTTTGAAATTTACAGATTTTTGGCCCGAAAAAGAGATAATGTAGCACTGTGCGCCACTTTTAAGTGTTAACCTGTCATAAATCATATAACATAATTTAAATAATTCAAAATATAATGTTTGTAAGAATTTTTAATTTAACACTTATTTCCATCCCATGGGTATTAATAAATTATTCTCTTGTTTCATATTTTGATTTGAAGGTAAAGTTCTACGAGTTTTAAATAAGGAGCTTTCACCTCACTGAAATTTTCCCTTCTTAAAATGAACTTTCAAGAGAGTAAGAAGTAAATGAAAATCTCTTATCAACTCCATTACCCCTCATTCACTTTCCAGTGGAAATTTTGCATTTCTCCTTCTTCAACAACAATGAATCAATTCCAGCGAGAGAGCAACTGAGAGAGAGTTCATTTATGTGGGAGAGCAAACGATTCATTTTTGGAATATTTAAAAACACATTTTCAAATGGAAGTCCACAAAATAATTCCTGGCTGCCCACCTAAAAATACCTTCACTCAAGGAATGACAATCCAAAATAGAACCAATGAAGTTCAGTAAGCCAGTTACCATTGACACTAGAAGAACATTAAAACGGAATAAGGCGCATGAAGGAATTGCCAATAACATTTGCATTCAAATTTCTTTTTCTGTGGGGCTGCGCGTGGAATAATTTTTGCAACTTAATTTGAAGAAATTAAATTTAAATTCATCGGTTTTAGATATCACCCCATAACGAAAAAATTGCTAAAGTGATAATCGAAAAAAAAAATTGAAAACAATTTAAACGCCACCTGATTTTTTGTTAACCTTAGCAAAAAAAGAAACACTCAAATACAGATGATTTACAACGGACGTGACGTTTCCTTTGTTCCGTAAAACCACAGTTGAGAAGCCTACTTTTAGGCGCGCGCGCGTTTTATTTGGAGAGAAGTAAATAGCCACCTCTCACAGAGATGTTATAACGGCCAGTGGATTTTGTTTGCTGTATAAAGTGTGGCATATTTTCAGGCTTATATAGAACATGAAGCATTCATCTGAAGCAGTTTTTTTGAAACGTGATCGTGTTTAAATACCAGAATCAAAAATAACAAAAGCATTTAAGTTATATAATCCTGTTGAAAATAAAAACAAAACCTTGTAAATGTTTGTATCTATGGATTTTTTAAAAAATATGAAAAGTGCCCATGCTTCGGTATAAAACACGAAATAGTCCGTCGCAAAAGACGTCCCTACGCTGGGGCGATAGTTGTGGCCATTAAACCAAAGAAAACGAATTAACAACCAACTACAAAAAAATTGCAGCCTATTTTTCGTAGACTTTACAAGAGAGAAACTAAAAAAACTAAGGCCACACTAAAATATATTCCTATTTTAACAAAAAACATACTTAACTAATTCACTGAATTTTTTTTGTGTATAAAACTCGAAATTTTAAAAATCCATTAACAAAGAATAAAACCAAAAAATAGTTACCTGTAATGTGCTGTGTATTTTGTTTTTGTTTATCATAAAAAATAAAACAACCTAAGCTATAATGTTGCATAATTTTAAGCAAAATCCTATTTTGGGTTCGTTCGATTCACTCTAAACCAAAAAGCAAGAATATTTTCTAATTTGTGCGTTATTAAGTGATTATTGTGGTATCCACCACCAAACCACATACACAGTTAACAGCGGGAGGAGTAATATCAAGGTAAGTCAAAACACCAGCAACAACAACAAACAACATGTTTGCTTTCCAATTTTCCAATCGCAGTAATTTGCTCTCTCCCTTTCGTCAAGTAAACTTGGCCAGCAAGACAGCTGTTATTGGCAGAGAGCAAACGAGCGAGGGCGAGAGAGACATTGAAATAAATGATTTGGTTTTTTTGTGAATGAATTTTTTATAAACGAAGTTACAACATGTGCATGGCAAAAGAGAAAGAGACAGAGCGAGAAGACAAATTCTCTTCTGTTCTCTGTATTTACTTTGCCCAATGTAACTGCTGCTATCTGCATGGTATACTTTTAGGCTGAAATAAATAAAGAGAATTTTTTAAGAATACATAAAGGCATTTACTGGAATACATACCTACATTATTTACAACGTTCATTTATATAGGTGTCTTCATTGTATATATGTGTGTGTATGTATAGATTTTTTTGGTAAGAATTAATCGTTTGATGTCAAAGGAGAAATAAAATGAAAGGATATTTAATAGGTGGTCTGAAGAATTCGGGGATTTCGTAGAAAATTTGTATACATTAGCTTTACAGCAAAAGGATTTAATAATTAAGTTTATGTGCGATGCAAATTTCATGACAACCAAAACTAATTATTAAATCATTAAAAGTTACTTAAAGATATACGAACTTTTTTGGATGTGTGAAACCAATTTTATAAGAATAAGATTTTGTTGAGAAGAATGGACCACGTTACTCAACAAGTTTTCGTCATAAGCCAAGAAAAGTATAACTCTCTACACACCAATATCTAAATTACACGTTTGACGTGTATTCAACGCATTTTATGAAAATAATTTTGGTGAAAATAAGGCTTCTGCCTATAGGGATAAATCTGTGTATAAAATAGTTCCTTTTTGGGTAAAATGCTATAGACTGAAATGCTATTTTGCCGTTTTCAGTTTTAAATAGATTTCACAAAACATTTTAAAGATAAATAAATAACTTCCAATAAAAAAATTACAATATTTATAATGTTTACATTTCATAAAATTAAATTAATTTCTTAATAAGTTAAGTATATTGGCCAGAATTTTTTATACCCTCAACCATTCGGAAAGTTACATTTAAAAAGTTGTGCGTAGCTGTTATTAGGAACGATTCAAAACCTAAATAATATGGATTTTGGTACATAGGACCAATCTCTGATATAGCTACAGCTCCCTTCTGGGAGGTAGAACATACTATTAAATCTAAATACCGAATTTTTAACTATCCCTTAATCCTATCCCTAAAATATTCAAAATATCGAATATAGAGAAATAACTTAATATGGGGCCTATGGGAAAAGGTGGACCTATATGAACAATATAATGCAACAGGAGAAAGATTCCAATACAAACTCTTAATACCACATTTTAAATTATTCCGTTAGAAAATGTGCCTAAAATCGTTTAAATTGGGAGGCACAATTATATGGGTACTATACGAGAAAGTAGATCTATAAAGACAACGTTTTGCCACAGAAGGTAAACCCCAATATAAACTTTAAATACCGAATTTTAAACTAGTACGTTATAAAGTGTGGCCAAGACCGTCAAGAGTGATTACAACAGATGGAGGCGGCTAAATTGACTTAGAATTTTACGCTGTTAAAAATCTATTTACTTTGTTGGTTCCAAAACGATTATTTCTATGAGTAACAAACGGAGTAACAAACCTAATATACCCACCATACCATGGCTCCCATATATTTCTATACCTAAGAAAGGAGGGTATATTAACTTTGTCATTCCGTTTGTAACATCCCCAAATATTCGTCGTAGACCCCATAATGTATATATATATATTCATAATCAGCATAAAATTCTTAGACGATTTAACGATGTCCGTCTGTCTGCCTGCATGTTGAAATCACGATACAGCCCACATTATTTGACGTAGAGCGTCAAAATTTAGCAGAATAATGTTTGTTGTGTCTATGATGATTGGTATTGAAAATGAGATATATCGGTCCACGTTTTGGTATATTCCCCAAATAACGGTGCATCCCGATATTCGGTATTTTGATGATTTTTGCCACACTTTTTGACGGATTTGTCTGAAAATTGATATTTGTAGGTCACAATGGGTTCTAGCTCCGGTGGCGAAACTTTGCATGTATAGGTCCACGCTTTCGTATAGCCCCATATAACATTTTTTCACGGATTTGTCTAAAAATTGGAATTTGTTGGTAATAATGAGTTCTAGTTCCGTTGGCGAAATATTGTATGTTTAGGTCCACGCTTTGGTATAGCCCTATATTCGGTATTTTGATAATTTTTGCCACATTTTCTTACGAAAATGTCTAAAATTTGGTATTAGTGGATCATAATTGGTTCTAATGTTTCCATTACGCTAAGGTGGAGGGTATTAAAAGTTTTTTTTTTTACTTGTTATACCTTCAGCCTTATATATCATTTGATACGACCTAAACGTCCCTCATCGAAACATAGGTTTTTGGACGAAGTTCGTTTCAGGACATTATCTTTATCGTAATATTATTATAAAACATAGATTGAATGCGGAGGTAGGTAATATCGGCCCACACCTTCTGGTACCTCCCACACAAATAGTCAACATTTCCATAGAAAATTGCTTACTTCATAAATCATGAAAGAAAGAATGTTCGTATATTGTTTGAAAATTGTAATACTTTTTATTAGTGCAAGGCCAGATGCGAGAATGGATCGAACGACTCCTGCTGGTACCTCCTATTAGGGAAATGGATGAAATGGACCAAAAACTGAAAAATTTACTGATTTTGCAATTGCTGTACAGGTCGCAATTATAGACCAAACGAAGCAGAAGTTAGCATGGGGCTAGAGCTTAGTGCTGGGCACAAGCCTTCCAATTTTGATGGTCGTCGGGTAACATTTGTGTTAAATAAAACTCAAATTTTCCATTAAACCGCGAATATTTTTAATCCCGGCGAAATCACAAATAGACAAACAGGTAAATTCTGACCGTTACGTAGATGCCGTTAGTAAATATATCGGATGTATATTGCGAAATATATACCATGTATATATACAAAGGAAGGGGATCTTAGCTAGAATGTTTATATCTCAAGAATGGTTGGACCGAATGCCCTCTTGGCATAAAAGTATAAATCCAAAAAATAAGGGTAGGGTTAGGCTTAGAAGGGCTAGGTCTATTGTTTTCAAAGATGTCCGCAATATATTTAGGGGTTAAAATGGACCAGCAACTAAAAATGTTCCTGATTTTGCAGCCGTTATAAAGGTCACAGAAAACAAAGAACACAAAATCTCGCATGAAGTTAGAGTTTAGGACAGCGGGTACTTTTGTGCGAAAAAATACCAACAGTACTTACAGGCGATATCCGAAATACACAAAAGGCGAATTTCTGGCTTTTTATGCTGATTTCATTGACGAATATAGCCAAATATCATAGACAAGCAAATCATATAGACGAATCTAAATTTGGTGATACAGAGGGGAATCTTGCATTTTGAGATGATCGCAAAATATTTAGGGGTTCAAATGAACCAAAATCAGAAATAGGGCAAATATTAGACGTTTGGTGCACAATTAAAGGTAAATCGGACCAAGTTATATGCGAGATATGTCCAAATCCGAACCGATTTCGATAAAATTTAGCAAAGGTATTTCTGAGCTGTATTTGATATATTTCCCTAAATATTGTTGTTACAGAGTGCATATTGCGGCTGCGGAGGACTAAAATAACAAATCGTATGAATAATATATATTGGAGCTATAGCTATATCTGAACCGATTTCGATCAAATTTGGCATACTTATTGTCAGGCCTAATTTGGTAGTATGTGCAAAATTCCATACTATCCGGGCTGATATTACACGTTTGGTACACAATAAAAGGCAAATCGGACGAAGATATATATGGGAACTATATCTATTTTTTTTACCGATTACCTCCAATTTCAATAGGGTTCGTCCTTGGGCCAAACAAATGATTTGTGCAAAATTTCATCAATAAATGCGAACTGTAATTTGTTTACAAAAATACATGGACAGACGGACGGACATGTATAAATCGACTCAGAATGTGATTCTATGCAGATCATCAAAAGTAACTATGGGTCTATCTCGTTTCTTTTGCCTGTTACAAACAAATGCACAAAGACATAATACCCTGACCACCTTGTGGTGTAGGGTATAAAAAAACAAAGCTGAATAAGACACTTCATTTTACAACAAGTTTTTTTGTTTAAATGACACTTCACAAAATTTATACAACTAAATCTCCAAAGAATGGTAAACCACAATGTGACCAAGGTGTCCCTATATATTAAAACGTGGGTCAATATGAACATATTTTGTCGTAGGGTGAATTTATATTTAATAAGACCTTAAAGTTCCAAACTACAATTATGTGGGGTCTATATCCAATAGGTGTCCTTTAACCATTCCTATTTATTTGTCAGGGTAGAATTATTATAGCTCTAAATATTAAATTGCTGCTGAGTAGCCTTAGTGGGTAAAAATCTTTAAAATTCCGAAAATCTGGCGGTATTGTTATTGGGGGATTGCACAATATAGGGTCTATGAGTAATTCTATACACTAATAATTTGAAATAACCTTCAAAATACCTAAACCCATGTTGAAAATTGTACAAAAACCTTTAAAACGGGAATTACAAATGTGATATAAACATAAGCACATGAACAATTATAACATTAATATAGCTTTTATAGCTTCCAATTAAAAACATACTCCTTAAGTCTATATTAATGCCACTGACATTCCATGGAATTTATTTTTTTTACAGCTAAGTAATAATAGCTTGGCCTTTATTTAAAAGAAAATACCACATTTCCATGTGGCGATGCACAAAAGTGCAGCCATAACGGGTCATTATCCATCAAATGAAAATTTATGTATTTTTAATGAAGCTCATTAAGCTAAGTTGTTGTGGCTAAGTGTGATGGCGGGTGGGTGACTATCCGTCCCGTTAGTGGTGGGTGTCGTTTTTCAAAGCGGTGTAATTTTCTTATTTTGTTGTGATATATAAACAATATGTATATATAGTCAAAGGACAACATGACATTTGTAAACGACAATAACTGCCACTACTACCAACAGCACTTGGTTAAAGGACGCCGTTTTGTTGTTCTTGTTGCTGTGTAGGAGGACTAAACACAATGCCATGCTAAGGGATTGCGGCTTTATTTATTTACTTTCTATTAAAGTCAGATTAACAAGGGCGTCATGCATTCTAGCAACGCTGCCACATTGGGGAATTTATTGGAAGAAAATTACAGCAAGTCTATGAGAGTTAAACGGATTTAATGGAATAATTTATTTATTCAAAAAACGAAAATGAGTTATTTTAATAATTAAGTGGTAAATGAAATTAATTTATTAACAAGATATTTATTTCAAAATCAATTACTATAAAATTAATTGCAATTTTTAGTATAAAAATTAAACAGAGAATATTTAAGAAAGGAGCTTTAGAAACCGAATTTTCAGTTTAGTACCTATAGATTAATATGCGAAGATAGAAATATCGAAATAACCGAAGCGTGTGATAGAAAAAATTTTAATGTAAACAATCAACATAAATTGTGTATTAACATTGAATTTTATTTAAATTTTTTAAAGTTCCGAACTTTTATATCGGTCATAATGGGAAATGTAGTGAAGACTGCGCTTAGTCCATCCTGAATCGAGATAACCAAGATCAAAACCTGTTCTTATATTGAATACAGAGAAGTACTCAAAAAAAACATTTCGAAATGATTCACAAAAAAAAAAAAAAATATAAAAGTAGCTACTTCAGAGAGAGAGAGAGAGAGAGAGAGAGAGAGAGAGTCCGGCCTTAACAATTGTCGAAATATTTATACCCTACACCACAAGGTGGTCAGGGTATTATGTCTTTGTGCATTTGTTTGTAACAGGCAAAAGGAAACAAGATAGACCCATAGTTCCTTTTGATGATCTGCATAGAGTCACATTCTGAGTCGATTTATCCATGTCCGTTCGTCTGTCCATGTATTTTTGTAAACAAAGTACAGTTCGCATTTATTGCCCTATCCAGATGAAATCTTTCACAAATCATTTGTTTGGCCCAAGGACAAACCCTATTGAAATTGGAAATAATCGGTCAAAATTTAGATATAGCTCCCATATATATCTTCGTTCGATTTGCTTGTATGAAATTTTGCACAAACAACTAAATTAGGCCTGAAAATAAGTATGCGAAATTTTATCGAGATCGGTTCAGATTTGGATATAACTACCATATAAAATTTCGACCGATTTACGTTTTATTGTGCATCAAACGTCTAAAATGTTGTCCAAATGGGATGGAATTTGGCCGAATTGAGTCTAGAAGCAAGTATGTCAAATTTGGTGAAGATCGGTTCAGATATAGCTATAGCTCCCATATATACTGTTCATCCGATTTGTTATATTTGTTACCCACAACCGTAGTATGCACTCCGTAACAACGATATTCAGGGAAATATATCAAATACAGCTCAGAAATATCTTTGCCAAATTGTATTGAAATCGGTTCCGATTTGGATATAGCTCCCATATATATCTTTATCCGATTTTAAATTAATTGTGCACCAAATGGGCAATACAAGTCCGAATTTAAAAGATACAAATGCTTCGGCATATATAGTCCTTTGAACTTTAAATTATAATTTTATTTTTTTTTTAATTATAATTATAGCGTGTATGTTGAATTCTCCCAATAAAACGTTTAATTGTTATGCGGAACTCTACTAAATTAGCAATTAGTGTAGGGTATCATAAAGTCAGCAACGCCCGACTTTACGACTTTCTTTACTGGTTTAAATCTCAGCTTCACTGAAAATTTACTCTATATCAAATTTTCAAACTCTGCATTAATACTTACGAAATTTAACTCAAATTTGGTTTGGAGTTTTAAGTCCTCACATGCGTAATATGCACTCCACAACAATGATATTTGATACCGGACATCAGATACAGCTCAAATCTCTGTCAAATTTTTTTTGCGATCGGTTCAGATTTTTATATACCTTTGATATACATCTTCATACAATTTTACGATTGTTGTTCAATATACAGGGTAAGATAAAAAAAAAACTGCAACAAAGTCAAGCGCCATAATTTTTACTTTTTTTTTAAATTTTATTGAACGAAAGCAAAAAATGTCGGAAATAGCATCAAATTTTAGATTTAGTTTAGATTTGTTCGAATTGTTCACCTTTGGCACGAATTATGGCCAATGAAACCGTCACACGCTGTCCGAATGTTGCTATGCGGTATTTTGGTCCATTCCCGGCGAAGGGCTTTCTTGAGGTGATCGACACTTTGGTATTTTTTAGTGCCAACCTTGCTTTCCAAAATACTCCAACGAATTGGTATCCGGAGATTTTGGTGGCCACTGTGTGCTGAAAATGAAGCGAGGAACCTCATTCTGTAACCATTGCTGTCCATGGTCTGCAGCCAGAATGTTTGAGTACCCAAGGCTTTAATACACCCTTCAGAATATTTTAGCGATAATATTCGGCATTTATTCTTATGCCACGGTCGATTAATACGAGCGGAGAGCGACCATCGGCTGTTATGGCGGCCCACGCCATCACCATGGCCAGCGCTTGAGTTCTGATGGCTAACCGAAGGTGCACATTTTCAGCTGACCTCTTTGGCAAGTAAACCCCATCATTTTGTTTGTTTACAACTGGTGGACAACAAATGTTTTCTCATCGGAGAAAACCAAATTCTGCAGTTCACCACCTTCGGCCAAGCGAAGCACCTCTTTAGCTCTTTTGAGTCTATTTACTTTCTGTTGCGGTGTAAGTTCTTGCACTTTATGGAATTTCAATGGCATTACCCCGAGCTCATTTTTCAATATATGCCGAATGGAATACTGCGATATGGTCAGCTCACGAGCCATTTTTCGGTCACTCCTACGCGGGTTTCGATCAAGTCGCTTCTTTACTTTTCGAACCATTTCTGCTGATGATGCAGTTTTCCTCCGCCCCTTGACGTCGGCCTACGCTACCAGTATCACGGTAACGAGCGATGGTACGAGACACGAACGATTTATTCACATTTTAATGCCGGAGTACTCTAACGATAGCCACTTGTGGTTTTCCAGCCAAATATAAAGAAATCACATTATCATACTTAAATTCCATCACGAATAACTTTTTTTCTGGAAAATTATCGCCAAAATGCTATTGTACGCTGGTAAACAATGTAATGAGCTGTCACTAGAATAATTTTAACAGCTGTCGGATGAGTGGCTTAGAAATGACAGTAGTCTAAAGTTGATTGCACTTTTTTCATCTCACCTTGGTACTCGAGGTACCAAAGCCTCCCTCAAATTTGTTTGAAAATCGATACAGAGTTGGATATAGTTCCCAAATTGTGACTAATCTAAAGTCATTATATGCTTCCAAATAAGTTTCATAGTTGGTATGATCTACTTCACATAAATTCCCAATATAAACTTTTTTTGTTACGGGAGCTCTATTAAATAGGCCTAGTGGTGTAGGTACAGTCGACACCGCCTGACTTTTCTCCTTTCCTCACTGGTTTTAAATTTAAATGCGGTTTTTTGTTCCGTTCTGTAGTTGTTTTGGGTAATGATTTCGTTTACGGTTCGGTTCGAAGCCGGTTCGTTTCATATCATTTCAGGACAAATTTCGAAAATTTTTAAAATTTTTGAAAATCTAGAATTTCTATAGAATTTGAATCAAAGTCTATTAATAGATGGTATATTAACCTCATCCCCTAGATGATCATATACCGAGAAGATGTATCTGTCGACAAACCAACTGATACTTTCTAAGATGTTTTCATATACTTATTTAAATTTTCGAATATTTATATCAATCTTCTGCCTAGCTTTTTATTGCATACCATTCTGCTAGCCAAAATATGTGACACATAAAACAGACATTTGTTAGATATGAAAAGATATTGTAAATCACTTATGATTGACATGACATTGATATGACAAAATTGACGATTGAATATCATTTGTGAACCGCAGCACATGCCTGATGATATTATTTACAATGCCGAATGAAATGTGAAAATGACACCGGCAATGTAAAAATGTATGCCTGCCGGGAAAATAAATATAAACATATTTTAGATCACATACAAATATATACAATGTATATTTTTCTTCGAAATGGTATTAAATATGCACTTGTGTTTTGTCTATTTTCAGAATCTCCCTCTTTTTCTCTGGGCAAAACGAAAAAAATTCTTCATGTAAAAAACTAACAAAAAAAGAACTCCGAAAACGAACGAACGAACAAATCTCTAAATTAAGAGTGACATCAACAACAAAAAGTATTACACTAAAATCTCCCAAACGAGCCGAAGCAAAACACAAGGGAGCCAAGTGAAAGCCATCGCTGTAAACAAATCGAAAATTAATAATTTACTAATTAGAGTAGTAAAACTACTTAAGAAGAACAAATGAGCCATCAATCGATTCGAGCGTCGTCATCATCATCAGCGTCATAAATATTGGAGAGGGAGATAGAGGAAAAACAAACTAGGCGCTTAGTTTAATTGATAGCAGCGAGACAGCACCAGCCACCGTCACCCAGCTGTCCAACCAACGAACCATCCATTCAGCCATCCATCCACATATCGAAATAAAGATTACATCTCTCGGACAAATAAATCACCTTCCGTTCCTGTAAGTGGGCAAAGCGTGTGACGTCTGAGATCGTTGGATATTTTGTTGGGTCAATCGCTTCCATTGAATATTGATTGAATTTTATTGCGTGTCACACACATCCACCTCATCATCATCTGCAGCGGCAACAGCAGCAGCAACGAAGCGAGTGACGTTTTGATTGGCAAAGATGATTAATATCGCCGGTGTTGTGAGCATTGTGCTCTTTTATTTGCTCATCTTATTTGTGGGCATTTGGGCCGGACGTAAAAAGGAAGCCGGTAATGATTCCGAAGAGGAGGTGATGTTGGCTGGTCGTTCCATTGGCCTGTTCGTTGGCATCTTCACTATGACCGGTAAGTATTTATGTTTGCATGTTTTTTTCTGGTAATCAAGTTGTTTAAGGGATGGACGATGGGTGGTGAGGAAGAAAAAGTCAAATAAAAAGATAATGGTAAAAATCTGTTTAGGAACTGCTAGGCTTGTAGTCGTGATTTTTTCAAGAAACACTGACCTATAATCGTGTATTTTTTAAGAACGTTTTTTTCTTAAACGTGGACTTTTCAAGTGGTGGATTTTATGAAGACCCACTGGCCTTAAAAGTGGACTTTTTAAGTAGTGGATTTTATGAAGTAGTGGATTTTATGAAGACCCACTGACCTTAAACGTGGACTTTTTAAGTAGACTTACTGACTTTTAAAAGGAAATTTTTATGAATGTTTATTTTCAGAAACACGCTAGCCTTAATCGTGGGCTTTTCAAGTCGATGATTTTATCAAGACCCACTGATTTTAGATTCTATCAAGATACACTGACCTATAATTGCGAATTGGTTAAGAATGTTTTATCAGCAACTGGTGGATTTTAAAGATATTTTCCGAAACTCGATGTCCTTAATCATGGATTTTTTAAGTCGTAAATTTCTCTTCACGACCCACTGCCCTATGATGATTTTTTTTTCAGGAAACCATTGACATTAATTATGCATTCTCAGGGACCATTAGGTCTACGTTCGTAGATTTTTTAAGATGCTCTGGGTTATAATAGTGAAAAAATTTTTCAGGCATATAGTCGTAATCTATAAGGGTGATTTTTTTAGTAATGTGTTCTTCTTTAAATCATCAGGCTTAAAAAACAGCGGATTTTTCCAAAAACCAGTGGCCTAAAATCATTAATTTTTCAAAGACCTATTAGCATATTATCGCGGATTTTAGGATATTTTTTTTTCCAATGGCCTATGATCGTGGATTTTTTCAAGTCAGAAATCATGGGGATTTTTTTAGAGTTTAGAGATTATCAGGCCTGAAGTCGTGGATTTTATTTCAATCCTGAATATTTTTTTGTAATCTTGGATTTTTCAAAGACCGGCGTGTTATGATTGTGAATTTTAAAAAATATTTTACCAAGCAGCAGTGGGCTTAAAACATGGGGGTTTTCAAACCGGAAATTGGGTATAAAATATATTTTTAGTACTATATTTACAGGATAAGCTGGACTACAATCGTGGGTTTTTAAGACTATTTTTAGGAACCATAAGACACATAATCGTTAGTTTGTCCCAAGACACAGACCTATAACCGTCGTTTATTCAGGAGTGTATTTTGAGGGAAAATTAGGCCTATATGTGTGAATTTTTTTCAAGATCCATTGGCCTATTAATGTTAGTATTTTTTAAGGACCGACAGCATATTTTTTTTAGATATTATCAGGCCTATAACAGTGGACTTTTCCATATACCCAGTGGTCTAAAATTTTGTATTTCCAAGGCCCACTAGCCTATAATCGTGGTTTTTAGAATGTTTTTAGGCCATAGTCGTGGATCCACTAGTCTAAAGACTAGACCTGCAAACGTGGATATAGAGATCACAAAGAGACTATATAGCCAAGACTCAGGGGCTTATAATTGTGTTTTTTTTAAGCACAGACCATCAGGCCTATATGCCTGGATTTTTTCATGATCCTATTAATGAGAATATTTTTTTCAGGAACTGTTAGGCAAACGTTCGTGGATTTTTTGAAGACCCACTGGCCTATAAGCGTGGATTTTTTGAGAATGTTTTTTTTTCAGAAACCATGAATTTCCCTAGAACAGCTGGATTAAAAAAGATATTTAAGAAACCACCAGGCCTGTAATCGGGCAGCATTAGCCTTCAGTCATATAGTTTTTTTTTTTCAATATCCACTGGCCTATAACCATGAATTCTTAAGAATATTTATTTTAAAAACCAGCAAAGAATGTCTTAAAATCGGGCGGGGCCGACTTTATGGTACCCTACACCACTTTGCATATTTAGTAGAGCTTCACATAACAATTAAAAGATTTTATGGGAGAATTCAATCATACACGCTATGATTATAATTATAATTTAAAGTTCAAAGGACTATATATGCCGAAGCATTTGTATCTTTTAAATTCGGACTTGTATTGCCCATTTGGTGCACAATTAATTTGAAATCGGATAAAAATATATATGGGAGCTATATCTAAATAAGAACCGATCTCGATAAAATTTGGCAAAGATATTTCTGAGCTGTATTTGATATATTTCCCTGAATATCGTTGTTACGGAGTGGATATTACGGCTGTGGGAAACAAATATGACAAATAGGATGAACAGTATATATGGGAGCTGTAGCTATATCTGAACCGATCTTCACCAAATTTGACATACTGGCTTCTAGACTCAATTCGTTCGTAAATGCCAAATTTCATCCAATGTGGGCAAATAGTAGACGTTTGGTGCACAATCAAAGGTAAATCGGACGAAGTTATATATGGGAGCTATATCCAAATCTGAACCGATCTCGATAAAATTTAGCAAATGTATTTCTGAGCTGTATTTGATATATTTCCCCAAATGTAGTTGTTACAGAGTGCATATTACGGCTGAAGAGGACAGAAATAACAAATCGGATGAACAATATATATGGGAGCTATAGCTATATCTGAAATTTGGTATACTTATTATCAGGTCCAATCTGATCGTACGTGCAAAATTCCATACTATTCGGACTGATATTACACGTTTGGTGCACAATAAAAGTCAAATCGGACGAATATATATATGGGAGCTATATCTAAATTTTGACCGATTACATCCAATTTCAATAGGGTTTGTCCTTGGGCCAAACAAGTGATTTGTGCAAAATTTCATCTGGATAGGGCAATAAATGCGAACTGTACTTTGTTTACAAAGGACAGTGAATGCGCATTTTTTTAAAGACATTGTATCGAGTGTCAGCCATAATAGTCTATCATCTAAACATATTTTTCCAGGACCTTCAGAAATTTAAAAACATTATTTTAAGAGCTATCAAACATACTGTGGTGAACTTTCAGAAAATGTTGTCAAAGGCGTCAGAGCATTTTTTCAAATACCATCAGGTATAGGATTATCAATATTTAAAGAATAATTTATCAAGGATGTTCAAAAAACTTTGTAAGGTTTTTTTTTCGATGATATAACGCATTTTTGAAATATTTATATACCCTCCAACATAAGAAGTTTTATGCTTTGTAATAATTGAAATAAATTTTTTATTAATTTTTCAGCAACATGGGTTGGTGGCGGTTACATCAATGGTACGGCTGAAGCTATTTACACATCAGGTCTGGTATGGTGTCAGGCACCATTTGGTTATGCCTTGAGTTTGGTCTTTGGTAAGAAACAAATACATTATTATATTTTTATTTTTCTTAAAATCCTTTGTTTTTTACTCCCTCCCACAGGTGGCATTTTCTTTGCCAATCCAATGCGAAAGCAGGGCTACATCACAATGTTGGATCCGCTGCAAGATTCGTTTGGTGAGCGAATGGGTGGTTTACTGTTTCTGCCCGCCTTGTGTGGTGAGGTGTTTTGGGCTGCCGGCATTTTAGCAGCTTTGGGTGCAACTCTCTCGGTTATCATTGATATGGATCATCGAACTTCTGTTATATTATCCTCATGTATTGCCATATTTTACACGCTCTTTGGTGGTCTATATTCGGTGGCCTATACCGATGTAATACAATTGTTTTGTATTTTTATTGGCCTCTGGATGTGCATCCCGTTCGCTTGGGCCAATGATCATGTGAAGAGTCTATCATCGATGGATGTCGATTGGATTGGTCATGTGGCACCGGAGCAGAGGTGGTTTTATATAGACTATGGGTTGCTGCTGATATTTGGAGGTATACCGTGGCAGGTGAGTTGGATAAAATATTTATATATTTATTATATAAATAATAATAATAAAATCCACAAAGAAAACCGATATGTTCATTAATAAACCCTCAACATATGAAATCTCCAAATACATAGTGGGGAGTTTAAATGATTTAACGAAGGATTATGTTTCATAATATTAAAGACATACTGGAACTAAAATACAGAATTAAAGATACAAGAATTGAAGAAATCCCGTTATCATTTGAAAAAGGACTTCCAATTTAGATGTTGCATTCCAGTTTACCTACGATATTTATTGAAATTGCTCTTATTATCACTTGTAATTGAAGGTCTGCCCACGGGCTGTGTATATTATATTTTATCCATGCTTCCGTTTTGTCCATGATTTTATGTCTGGTATGAGCCTCGCTATCTCACGAGACCAGTGCGTCTGCCATTTGTCTCTTCTTTTATTGGAGCAAGTTCTAAGGCTTTATATTGAGAACGATTTGCTTCAAATATTTTCAGCCGCTCTACAGCTATCAAGTTGTTGGTACCATATCCGTTATAATTTGTACCACTGGTCCTGAGACTGTGCGGTATGCATATGCCACTCTCAACGCCGCTATTCTCTGTACTTTCAGTACTTTGTGTGTCCTCGGTTTATTGAGCATATTCCCTGTGCAGATTTCGAATATGTACAGAAGAATGATGTCACAAGCATCGATTAGCAACCTCAATCTGTTTTACTATAATCTGCATGGTTTAATGTTAGTTTATTGCCGAGTCTTATCCCAAATGATGATGCTGTTCACATGCCCCCGCTGTACATCGTCTGTGGTCCTGGCCTGGATGACGGCAGCAATATTATTTTCCAAAGGGACGTAGAATTGAAACCTGATATTATCTGGACTTCTTTGGTGTTTTCGCGTTTATTATAATTAAGAACTCTTCCGATTATGCAGCTACTTATTATACTGATAAGGTACCCAGGGATTTGAAATTTCAATTTTTCTTCAAATAAAGTGTGGCTAATATAATCACCGGTCTTATTTTATTATTTTGTTTGCTGAGTAGCGAAAAAAACGTCAACTACTTGATTGATTACACCGATAATTGACTTTTCACTTCCGACAGAATGTTGCCTCTCAGATAGTATTCCTTTACAGCGTTGTCTATTCAGGTCTTTGGCAGTATCTCGTATAGTTTTCCAGCAGTATTTAGTATGTACATTGGCCTGCACAATGGCGGGGCTGTTGAGATTCCTTTAGCTTTACTAATAAGCTGCTGTTCTTTTCATGGCGTAAGGAAGATTCCTTGTGCTAAAAAATGGTTAAACATATTTATTATATGATCGGGCATTCCTCAGCAATCTTTGCTAGAAATCTGTCAGGAACGGGCGCGTTTCATGAAGACTGTGGGAACTTCCTACATGGTGTTTCAGAAACAGAGTGCTTACAATATTTGAGTCCAAGTCCAAATGGATCTCGATATAAGTCATATCTCAGTTCGTCCCATTTTTATACCCTACACCACAAGGTGGTCAGGGTATTATGTCTTTGTGCATTTGTTTGTAACAGGCAAAAGGAAACGAGTTAGACCCATAGTTCCTTTTGATGATCTGCATAGAATCACTTTCTGAGTTGATTTATGCATGTCAGTCCGTCCGTCCGTCCGTCTGTCCTTGTATTCTTGTGAACAAAATGCAGGTCGCATTTATTATCCGATTGAGATGAAATTTTCCAAACAAAATTTGTTTTGACCATGGACGAACCCTATTGAAATTGGAGTTAACCGTAAAAAATTTAGATATAGCTCCCATATATATCTTCGTCCGATTTGCTTTTTATTGTGCACCAAACGTGTAATATCAGCCCGAATAGTATGGAATTTTGCACATACAACCAAATTAGGCCTGAAAATAAGTATGCCAAATTTGTTCGAAATCGGTTCAGATATAGCTATAGCTCCCATATATATTGTTCATCCGATTTGTTATTTTTGTCCTCCGCAGCCGTAATATGCACTCTGTAAGAACAATATTTGGGAAAATATATGAAATGCAGCTCAGATATACCTTTGCTAAATTTTATCCAGATCGGTTCAGATTTGGATATAACTTCGTCCGATTTACCTTTTATTGTGTACCAAACGTCTAATACTTGCCCAAATGGGATGGAATTTGGCACATACGACCGAATTGAGTCTAGGAGGTAGTATGCCAAATTTGGTGAAGATCGGTTCAGATATAGCTATAGCTCCCATATATATTGTTTATCCGATTTGTTGTGTTTGTTACCCACAGCCATAATATGCACTCCGTAACTACGATATTCCGGGAAATATATCAAATACAGCTCAGAAATATCTTTGCCAAATTTTATCGAGATCGGTTCAGATTTGGATATAGCTCCCATATGATTTCTGATTAATTTTGCACCAAATGGGCAATACAAGTCCGAATTTAAATGTAGGGTATCATAAAGTCGGCACCGCCCGACTTTAGGACTTTCTTTACTGGTTTCTTCTTCCGTTCGTGCATGCCGATTTGGAGAGCCTTTTTTTTTCTTCTCTGTACTGAGAATGTTTGGGCAGGGCCTCAACGTTTTGCTTTCGAGAATTTCTTCTTCGTTTGAAGCAATTTCTTCTCAGTTTTTCTATGTGGCTATTCCACCAGTACACTGGTGGCTTCTCAGGGTCCAAGTCTTGAAGTTTTGGCATTGCCTTATTACACTCCGATTAAATGTTGGAACACATTCTATATTTGTGACTGGAAGACCTAATCTTGCTATAATTTCTAGTATCCATCCAACTGCGCGAGAATTAAAATCTGTTGCTGTGGTTAATGCACCGTCAATATTCCTGGCAGCATCTTCAAATGCGTTAGCGCGCCGTCAATGTTTCTGAAGAATCTTCAAATGCGTTGTGTTCTGTTTAAAGTTCGTCTATTGGGTCGCTGTTGGTAAGGTAGCAACTCATGCCTCTAATCTCAACTAGGAATGCGAATTTAGATCCATCCTCAAACAATTGTCCATGTGCCTTTTGTGAGTACTGTTCGCTGACATGTCAGATTCATCCTCAAACACATGGTGAATATTGTTCTCTGATATGTCAGCATTCTTTTCTCGGTGCATGTTATAATGCACAATCTTCGTAATGTCTGCTGTTTGCTTGAGTTGCAACTTGTAGATGCAGGACAGTTATCCAGTTTCTCTTCATCAAAGCACATGCAACACTTCGTAAATTCTTTAAGTTCATGGCCTTTCCCCACAGTGGACGCACAGATCCATATCCTTTCTATTAGGTTCTTTACAATCATATTGAATATGGCCGGTACCAGCACATCTGTAATAGAGTGTGGTCTCCTCCCTGTATTTTACAAAGCAACTTGTCAGTCCACTTTCAAGCGTTTTGCCTACAGGATCTTGTTGACATAATTTACGGGTATGGCTCCGAAAGCTCTTCGTTGTGCTCTGAAATTTGGAGCTGTTAAGTGCACACCAATATCTGCAACTGGCATTGTTGTAGCCTTATGAACGGTAAGTTGTTCTTCTAATCTTGCGATCGTCAGGCATCAGAATCATGTATCTCTACGGTGGTCTTAGGTTATCTTTCCTCTACAGTGATTGAGATATTGAGGGAACCTTTTATGGCCTAATAAAATGTAACTCCTATTTTGGTTTTGGTAATGGATCGCATGTCTACTCTCTGTCTAATGTTTTTGAGCACATAAGAGTAGGTGTGTCGTACGCCTGTCTTATTTATTACAGCATTTGACCGGTTCGAAGGTTTCTTCTTCGGTTTTTCCCTTTTAATAAAAAATTAATTTCTGTTTTTTATCTTATTTCCAGGTATATTTCCAACGTGTTTTGTCCAGTAAAACCGCTGGACGTGCCCAAGTTTTATCCTATGTTGCCGCAGCTGGTTGTATTTTAATGGCTATCCCACCGGTACTGATTGGCGCTATTGCCAAAGCAACTCGTAAGTAAAAATCAATTAACACAAAAAATCTTATCCTTCAATAATTTCAAACAATTTTCATCTTCAGCTTGGAATGAGACAGACTACACTGGACCATATCCTCTAACGGTGCAGGAAACTAGTATGATTTTACCAATGGTTTTGCAGTACCTTACTCCAGATTTTGTATCGTTCTTTGGGCTGGGTGCTGTGTCGGCGGCGGTTATGTCTTCGGCCGATTCTTCCGTTTTGTCGGCAGCCTCAATGTTTGCGCGCAATGTTTACAAACTGATATTCCGACAGAAAGCTTCCGAAATGGAAATAATATGGGTTATGCGTGGCGGTATTATTGTTGTGGGTATTATGGCGACTATTATGGCCCTGACAATACCCTCGATTTATGGTCTATGGTAAGGGTTTATAGAACGATATGGAATTTTATTACTAAATTGTTATTCAAATATTTTTTTCATTAATTTTAAGGTCCATGTGTTCCGATCTGGTGTACGTGATTCTATTCCCCCAACTGCTGATGGTGGTACATTTCAAGAAACACTGCAACACCTATGGCAGCCTTGCTGCCTATCTGATTGCTTTATTCATCCGTTTATCGGGTGGCGAATCTTTACTCGGTCTGCCAGCCCTCATCCATTATCCGGGCTATGATGCAGAGAATGAAACACAGCTGTTCCCCTTCCGCACAATGGCCATGTTAGTTAGTTTAGTGACATTGGTTGTAGTTTCGTGGTGGACAAAGTAAGTGTCGTTTGGGGAATTGTGACAATTGGATGATGTTGTTGTACTAATTGATGCATGTTTTTGTTTTTCGTTGAATGACAGGATGATGTTTGAATCCGGTAAACTGCCGCCAAGTTATGACGTTTTCCGTTGTGTGGTCAATATACCTGAAGATGTACAAAGAGTGGGAGAACCAGCCGAATGTGGAGAACAGGTGAGTAAGATAAGAAGTGCTTCAGTCAATAGTTGTACAAAATACTTTGTAGATTCTTTTATGGAGGTTGATGTGCTGGGAAAAATTAAAAATGGAAAAATTCAATTGAAAATGAAAAAATCAACCCAATTTGGCCAGATATTATATATGGTGAACAAAACCACAAAATCGGTCGAAGACGTATATCAAAGGTATATAAAAATCGGAACCGATCTCGATAAAATTTGTTTGAGGTATTTTCGAGCTGTATCTGATGTCCGGTATCGAATATCATTGTTGTGGAGTGCATATTACGAATGTGAGGGATTTTAACACCAAAGCGGATGAAACATATATATGACAGCTATAGCTTTGTCTGAACCGATTTTCACCAAAATTTGAAGTACATGCTTCTAACCCGAAGACCGTCGTAAGTGGCAACCTTTAGCTTATTTGGGACGATATCAGCCATTTGATGCACAATAAACCTGATATCAGAATTCGGTCGGATGTGCTAAAATTTAGGCCATCTGAACTGATATTGACCACTTGGAGAAGAATTAAGCCGAAATCGGTGGAAGGTATATATGGGAGCTATATCTAAAATGTCTAAAATGTCTGCGTGACCAAGACTTTAATACACACTCCAGAATATTTTCGAGATAATATTCGGCATTTATTCTGATGTTACGGTCGATTAATACGAGCAGAGAGCGACCACCGGCTGTTATGGCGCCCACACCATCACCATGGCCGGTGCTTGAGTTTTTTCTGGTGGCCAACCGAAGGTGCACATTTTCAGCTGACCTCTTTGGCAAGAAAAAATTATAATTTTGTTTGTTTACAAACTGCTGGACGACGAATGTTTCTCATCGGAAAAAACCAAATTCGGCAGTTCACCACTTTCGGTCAAGCGAAGCAAAATTTTAGCTCTTTTGAGTCTTGTTCTTGCACTTTTTGGAATTTTAATGGCTTTACTCCGAGCTAATTTTTCAATGTTTGCCGAATGGAATATTGCGATATGTTCAGTTCACGAGTCATTTTTCGGTCACTGCGACGCGGGTTTCGATCAAGTCGCTTCTTTGCTTTTCGAACCATTTCTGCTGATGTTGCTGTTTTCTTCTTTTCCTCTTTCTTGACGTCGGGCTTCGCTACCAGTATCACGGTAAAGAGCGATGGTACGAGAGACAAAAGATTTATTCACATTAAAACGCTGGAGTGCTCTAACGATAGCCACTTGTGATTTTCCAGCCAAATGTAAAGAAATCACGCTATCACATTTGAATTCCATCGCGTTTTGAATTCCATAACGTTTTTATCTGGAAAATTCTCAACAAAATGCTTTTGTACGCTTGTAAACAATATAATGAGCTGTCACTGTCTGAAATTGGTTATAGTTTTTTCATCTCACCCTGTAGTGTAAGGTATAATGAGGTTTAAACAGACCCCGAACAGAGTGGTTGGTTTCTTGTCTCAGCGTTTGTCCTACGAGCCGCAGAGATTTGAAACTAAACCAGAACCATTTCTGGATTCTCCTCTCTCTCTATTTCTTCCTTTACAACAGATAAACTTAAGAAACGCCTTTATTTTTTAAATATTAACTCTCATTAATGCTAATCAAATAATAAAACATTATTTTTTTTTCTCACAGCTCTCCGTGATGGCTGGTCCATTGGGACGATCGTATGGTGCCGCCACAATGGCTGGCAAAGATGAGCGAAACGGTCGCATAAATCCCGCCCTGGAAACGGACGATGATCTTCCCGTGGCCGAAGCACGGCGTTTAAATCAACAAACGGCACAAGAACAGGTACAAAAAATGATTAGCTCCGCCACTGGTCAGAATCGACGAGATTCCAGTAGTAGTGGAGGAGGTGGAGGCGGTGGCGGCGGTGGTGGCTTTGGTGGAGGTATGGCAATGCCAACTGCTGATCAAGACAATACTGCCTTTTAAAACCCCAAAAAATAAAGAAAAAACAAAGCAAAATCAAGAACTAAAATTAAAGAAAACGAAAAACAAGCAAATCATTCACAAATTTAGGACACCGACAAACAAACAAGAAAGGCACACAACCAAGGTGTTGAGGAGATGAAAACAAAAACGAATTAGAACATTTAGAGAAAAAACAAAAAACGATTAGAAACGCTCACCAAAAAAATAAATTAGGATACAATTAAAGAAACATATAAAACCAAAAATAATACACCCGAAGAAAAATCTTAGTTGAAGCAGCAGTCCACACATTGGCCACAAGCAATCGAAATACCCACACAAATCTAGATTGGCAATATTAGCTGTGGTATATTAGAGTTGCCAATAATAAAATTTAAACATACATACAACCATACAAGAAAGACTAAAGAAATACAACAAATGTACATACGAACAAATATTCCACAAAACATACAACAACAATGAAACTGATATAAATCGTTAAGCAATTAATCCCCCCCCCCCTCACCCTTTCTAACTTGATGTTTAAGACCCCTCTCCCTAGTTCTTGTTCCAATCATGTTATATTTTAACTATTTATCCTATACCACCTTTATTAAGATATTACGGCTTGTTTTTTGTTAATTTAGTTTAATAATTTTCTAGGAAAGAACAAACATAGGAAATTATTGTTAAGCGAAGAGAAGAGGAAGAAAAACCAAAGAAATATTTATTAGCAATGTTAGATGATGAAGAAAAACAAAATAAATGGCTTATAAGAGAATTGTTAAATACTGTCTGTAAGTGCTCAGGTATTCCACAAGATAATGTTTGTTAATTATATACTTAAATTGAATATCTTATATCGAAAATTTACTATGAATTAATTTATGTTGCAATTATTGCAATGAAAAAACAAAAAGTATTTCACTAACTATAGCTGTGTTATTTAGTTAAATTAAAATACGTATTTATTATTATGTTAATTTTGTTACTATAGCTTAATATATGTAGCTTCTTAGCTTGTTGTATTAAAAGAAGATTATATTTTGGTTCGAATACTAGAGAAACACAAGTTAAATATGCTTAATAACGGAAAATAGCTCCAATTAGAAAATCTGTTTAAAAAATGTAAAATATATCGGTTGACTTACTGTGCTAGACCTGTAGACCATAACATTTTTTTTAGAAAATATGCAGTTATTAAGGATTTTAATACAGATATCTCTAGAAAATTATTACTGTTCCATTATTCCTTAAAAACTATGGACTTGAGGAATCCCCAATAATAGTTCTAATTACCACCAAATGAATAACACTTGCGACTTTTGAAGTTATATAAAAAGAGCCCGATTTTACTCGCGAGGGGAGTGCTCGAAAAGTAAGAGTTTTATAAAGAGAACTCCACTCCTTTGTTATTTATTGATTTATTTATTAGTTTTTTTTTTTTTTTTTTTGAAAAAAGAGAGTGGAAGTCAAATTTTTCCAAATAGAGTAGTATTTTTTTAAAGAGCGAATTCTAGTGGAAACATATTTTTATTACTGATATGTGTGTAGCGGTGGCAAATAGGTTTTGATGTTTTGTGGACCGATAAGAGGGGCGATCGTGAACAAAAGCAAAGCAACAGAAGTAGAATATAACAAGGGGCCATAACGGCATGATAAATCCCTTAAGAGTACTTGGTTCTATTTCGGTCGAATTTTAATTCCACTCAAAAACGATCAAGGATATTCATTCTTATTAGATTGGCATCGAAATTTATAGTATATTCGATTTTTTCTTATTTGCAGGAGTGGGTCAATTCGAATTTAAGATAGCTTCTCCCTCTACTCGAATGCTAGCGAACATTTCGGAGCTCTGACATAAAATATTCCTTTAATACAAAGACAGTGGTCAAAAAACGGTCCTGGAGGAAATATTCTTCATAATATTGACGATTAAAGATATAATAATATTTGAGAAAATATTTCTTAGAATATCTGCGACCATAGAATATAAATATCCAACAGGCCTTGAGAAAATACTGAAATTCTTTTCAAAAATATTTTAAAAATTCAATACGAAGAAGTAAAAATGTAGTAATGTCAGCCGGACCGAGCTTTCGTTACCCTGATGTATACAAAGTCAAAATTAAGAACTATATTATCACTTTTTTTGTAATGCAGTTAGACACCCATAGTTACTTCATAGAATAACTTTCTGAGTTGATTTATACGTGTCTGTCCGTCGGTCCGCCCATGTATTTTTGTAAACAAACTGCAGGTCGCATTTATTATCCGAACTATATTTGTTTGGCCCAAGGACGAACCCTATTGAAATTGGTGATAATCGAATCAGATTTAGATATAGCTCCCATGTATTTCCAACAGATTTTGGGTTAATTTTCCACCAAATGTCCAAAATAAGTCCAAATGACCTGCATTTTAGAACATCCAACCAAATTCAGTTTAGAAGCAAGTTCATCAAATTTAGTGAAAATCGGTTCAGATATAGCTATAGCTCACATATATATGTTTCATCAAATTTGGTGTTTAAGTCCCTTACATGCGTAATAAGCACTTTAGAACAATGATATTTGGTACCAGATAGAGCTCGGAAATACTTTTGCTAAATTTTATCAAGATCGGTTCAGATTTGGATATAGCTCTCATATATATCTTTAACCAAATGGCGAATATCTGCTCAAAGTTCAGAATTATGGTACATCCGACCGAATTCAATGTAAAAGCAGGTACATCAAATTTGGAGAAAATCGGTTCCGATATACATGTTTCATCCGATTTGGTGTTTAAGTCCCCCAAATTCGTAAAATCCATTCGAAAACAATAATACTTTGGTACCAGATATCTTATAGAGCTCGGAAATATATTTGCCAAATTTTGTCGAGATCGGCTATGATTTGGATATAGCTCCTAAATGGCCTTCATCCTTTGCCTTTATTGTGCAAATGATGACGCATCCAGTTTGCGGAACTCCGATATATATTTTTCAAAATATAATCCTTCACATGCACTCTATAGCAATGTTATTTGGTATAAAAATGTAAATGAGAAAATCGATTCAGAATTAGATATGTCTCCCATAAATTAGTTCTCTCTGAAACCAAGCTATAGCTGCTCTAAAGCCAAATGCTGATTGGTTATGATCTACTTCAAACAAATTCTTTTGTTACGGGAGCTCTACTAAATATGCATAGTGGTGTAGGGTATCATATAGTCGGCCCCGCCCGAACATAAGTCTGATGTAGAAAGTAAAACCTAAATCTTGTGTCTCTTTTTTCTTCGAATCAAAATTACTTCAATTTAGACGTTTGGATCTATAGTTTATTTGCTTTTATATTTATACGGGTTTTTATTATTGAATGTTTGATGTTAAAATTATTATATAGGCAAAGTATAAAAAACCAAAAAAAAAAAAAAAAAAAAAAACAACTAATGGAACAAATACATATCAAGACAAACATAACCTACGAAATATTTTAAACCTTATAATATAAACAGTTATAAACTATAAAGAAAAGTAAACTAAATCTATACATATCAAATGCATTTGTGTATACACAAGTAAAACGAACAATTATTCTAATTAAAAAAAGCAGTGAATAAAAAAATAATATTTTAAATACGTTTTATTGAAATTTAAAATTTGACATAGATTTTAAAATCTTTTTTCTGAATTTAAAGTATTCTTGATTATTAAATCGCATCAATTACAAATTTAAAGATTTTTTTTTCAATTCAATTTCATTATTTTAAAAGAGGTTAAAAATTTGACCCTGAAATTGGGCATTTCTAATTTAGAAATATAATTTCTTAATTTTTATTGTTTATTGTTTTATATTTAATAAACCATCATACATACATAAAAAATAATCCTTCCATAAGCAAACGAAACGAATATGAAAATAATCACTTAAACTAAACAATGTCAAGATACATATCAAGAAGTGAAATTTTAAAAGACCTATAAAAATACATATCATTATAAAAATGAAATTTATGAAAATTTTTCAATTTTTAATATAAATGTAAAAAACCCCATTATTAGTTTTTAAATTATATATTAAAAAAAAAAACAACCAAAACTAAATCGCAAACATATCATTTTCCAATATAATCATATATTGGAAAAAAACCAACAAACATATCTCCTTATAAAAGCGCATACACTTATATATTGTATGTCAACTAAGTCTAAGTATATATTTACAAAAATGTATTATAACAAATAACATATCCCATCCCATATATAAATGAAAACTAAGATGTGTTAAATTAGTAAATAAAATTATACATAATTATATAAAGAGAAAAAAAAACAATTTACAAAAAAAATAACATATATGTATAAACTCTCAAAGAGTAAATAAATTATAGCTGAATTAAATATATATAAATACAAAATTATATTGAAATGTTAATTGTAAAATGGAAAAAAATATATAAAATAAAAAAAATAAATTGCAACAAAAATGGAAACATATCAAGTCAATTGAAAGTAAAAAATTAATAGATGGCATAGTGCATACCGTTTTATCATTTTAAAACTTCTAAATAGAAAATCGTTCTCTTAACCGAGGGAAAGAAAAGTTGTTCTAATCAAATTCCACTAAAAGATGTGGAAAAAGGGATTTTAGTGAGTTAAGCTTTCTTTAATCTCGGTTTTGTTCTGGTAAACTTTCCGCCTGTGAATTTAGACAAATTTAGCTGATTTAAAAATAGAAGCATGCTATGGTCTCCTTTTGAAAAAAATGCCATCAACTTCAACTCGTTTACCACTTTTTCGTTCTCGTACTCTCTGGGTCAAGTAGTTCTTTCAGAAACACAGCGCACAATAAACACACAACACCGAAGCAACTCTTTAGCTCTTTTGAGTCTATTTTCTTTCCGTTGTGGTGTAAGTTCTTGCCTTTTTGGAATTCAATTGCTTTACCCCGAGCTCATTTTTTAATATTTGCCGAATGGAATATTGCGATATGTACAGCTCACGAGCCATATTTTTTTATCTCACTCTGTAATTTGGTTCAAATTTTGCCCATTGCAATAGTTCTATAAAATATAGATTGAGCTCAAAGTCAAACTATTCGGATGCACTTCTATCCCAAAAAAATTGTATCTAATGTAAAAAAAGGGATTTCTTGGCCCACTCCTTACGGTGCTCTCCCCACAAGCGGGTAACAGTTTCAAAGTATCATATATTTCACAGAAAGCTTAAAGGGTAATCGATTGTATGACATTTTCGGTACATTAGGAACAGAACACAGATTGGCTCGTTTTCACCCGGGAGTGAAAATTGATCGCGTGCGGGATTGCTCGAATCGCGAGAGTTTAATGCGGAGTTTAATATTACCCTCTTTTGTTTGATTTAGGAGAGCTCCTGAGTCACTCCAGTTCCAGAACTTAGAGTGGGAGCTGAATCACTTGAAATAGAATGGGAGTTAGCTCTTGTTTGTTTGTTAAAGTGAGCTGTGGGGGAGAAGGAGATCGTGCACAAAATCATAGAATAGAATAGCAGCAGAAACAAGTTACAAGTATGGGTCGAATACGAGGAAAAAGTGAATCTGCTCGTTTCGAACGAATTTTGCCCCCACTCTTAAACGAGCAAAGCATGCTCGCCCTTATTTTTTTAATTTTTTTATTTTTTTCGAGCAAGTTTTACTCTATCCTCGAATTCGAGCGAATTTTAGGAGGTCCGAATAGAAATGGTAGATTTTAGGAATCAATTTAGAGCATTTTATGACCATCAATTTTCATCTCAGAAAAACTGTTTAAAATATTGAGTTGTGAAAAATTTAAAGAGAATCGATTTTTTATTTAAAATCTTATTTGAGTAATTGTTATTTGAAATGTGGAAGTGGACTGACATATACCACAGAAATAATTCAAAATTTAGACCCTGTCTAGTAAGATCTAATGTTGTTAGAAATATTGATATG